TTATTTTTTTTTTTTTTTTTTTTTTAACTTACGTCTCCATTTGTGTACCAAATCATACTTGAACTGTTGATGAAGAAATTGTGTTTGGGATAAAAGTTAAAAAAGCCGATGTTCTGAGCGTCACCGCTGCTGTTCCAGAAAATGACGGAGTATGATCCAAACTTCAGGTCACCGTTGTGATCAAACTGAACTGTTCGGTTTAACAGAGTAAAATTGGACTTCTGTAGCTCTGCCAGAACCTGAAATGGACCAACAAAATAAACAACAATAGTACTACATGTGCTGTCACATTGAATATATAATATACTAATATTCAATCAATATTCAGTATTACATTAATTATTATTGTTATTAAATAGATGCAAGACCTTGTTTCCAGCTCACACTCAGAACATCTAAACATTTATCAAAAGAAAAGAAGGCCCAATATATTTATTTTTACTGACTCAGTCCCAAAACAATAGCGTTTAAGAATGTTTAAAACTTATAACTCTAATTATATTCAAATTTAGCTGAATCCCACCTGATTTATGAATGTGTGCTTTGACTCATTTGTATGTGACTAAATAAACATTTATATTGGCAGATTTAAAAGAAGCCTTGTTCACACATGGCTGTACTCAAAATCAAAACAAGTGTCCTGCTGAAGTCCTAATAGGTGAAAATATTAATTCTGTAAACGTGTCTGTGTTATGATTAATAATTATGCCACGCATCTGTTGTACAGGATATTTTCTAAATGTCACATAATGAGAGAAAAACAGAACCATACATAAAAAAATGACAGGTAGAGGGAAGATATGATGCGTTTAGTCTTTTTTTGAACTGTAATAAAATTCAACTTGTTAAATGAGGAACTGCATTGCTCAATGCTGAGATGAGCTAAAACTATCATGACGATTTGCAGCCATCAAATGATTTCCCTCTCTCCTTTTTTTGTATTTTTAGAATGGCAGCTAATATTTCTTTATGATCATGGATGATATGCTTTTTCTTGGGAATTGTTACAGACCATGTGAGTAAACTCACATACTGTAATTTTCGCGATACGTCACATCTTTTTGCATAATATTTGGACTGATGCAACTTGTACAACGAAAAGTACAGTCATTTCTGTTTTTTAACAATCATGATGGCACTTGCTGATAATCATTTCATCATGGATTAACAGCACTTTTCACATATGCAGTAAATGTGTATTCTTTAGTTCACGGATCCAGCATTTTTGTTTAGCTTTGCTAAACTAACCGTAGCATGGGGGAAGTAGCTCATTTTCATCATGTAAGTTGTTTTTATGCAAATTTAGAGTCTGTTGAAAATCAGATGGTTGATTTTATTAGTATAAAATCCTAACTGTGAAAGAGGATGTACTCTTTACATAATGTTTTTATTGTACCTTACCCATCACCTACAGTAACTGTTACTCTGACCTTACAAAGCTCCAAAGCCCTCACTCTTACCAACAACACACACATAACATCAGCTAATTCAAACACACTGAAATACATCCCTGACACAACACATTGGAGCCACACTGAAACAATCTTTAACAAAAGCCTCCAACCTTTGCATACGTACTTTGTTAGGATACACTGTGATGTTCTTACACGTGGTGGCTCCACACTGTAAGGTGCTGTGCAAGGCATGAGCGATGGCGTACACAGCCGAGTACACAGGAAAAGAAAACGACGGGTCGGCATCAAGGATCTCTTCGGTGCTCCACTCATTGCATTTGCAAACTTGATTACAAAACATCTGAGGTTCATCCTTTTCACACTTAACGTGGCTCATGGAATAATGAATAAAATCACTGAAACTGGGTATGGTTACCACGGGCTGAGCCACCCCCAGCACAGTTCCAATGTTGTGGATCCCCGTCATCTTTGGGAGGCGCTTGTTCAAAGACCAAGCATCGTTTGCGACCCACACTTTGTTGGTGATATTCATCCGAACAGCTGACTCGATAAGAGCTTCAGCTGCCATCTCTGGAGTAAAAACTATAATGACATGAATCTTCTGCCTTTCTATCTCTTTGAACATTTGAGAATAATCTGTGTCGGCAGCGAGGTCTCTGGTGTATGCCAGGCAAATGTCAGTGTTCCTAATTCTCTCTGTGAACAGTTCCAGGCCGTCGCTGCCATAATCGTTGTCACTGTTAAGGAAAGCAACCCAGCGCCAGTTGAAGTGTTTTATAATGGTGAAAATCACCTCAATGACGTCTGTGTTGGGATGTACTGTTCGCAAGAAGGATGGGAATTTAGCTTTTTTGGAAAAATCTGATGTTGAAGACCCATAGTTGACCTGTTAAAGAAGAATAACAGAGAAGTTCATTTTAATCAGTGGCAATAAAAAAAACTGGTAAAAAAATTAATTCACTGATCAGCCATAAAATAATAACCACTTACGAATGAGCCTATTCATCACCAAAACTGAACAAACAAAGAATCTCTCTGGGTGAGCAGTCTTTTATAACAAGACGTTTGCTAAATATTTCTTTAAACCTTTGGATTGTGGGATGTGGTCTCCTTGTTTCCTACAAAAAAATCATCACATCTAATAAGACTGGTTGGACTCTAATTCCAAAAATAAAAAGAATAAAAAAAAATAAAAAAACTGCAAAAAGACAGCAACAGGGAGACTAACTTTACTGGTTGGTATCCTGGCGCATGCTCAATAATCCAGGTAGATAAATCTAACAAGGTTAAGTCAGGTCCTCTGGACAAAGTGGAGACTTTACCTGCTCGTGGTCATGATGCCATGGCTGAATCGTGTATAAGACTTTGTTTTACTGTAAATGCTCCAATAAAACTTACCATAGGAAGAAGATCCACCATGAAGAAGGGGGCTACAGTCAGGGCCTGGGTGCTTGTGAAAGGACCGACTACTCCAATCACTTTGGAAAGATGCTTGTATGGTTCAGCCCAAGGACGGATCAAGCCGTTGACTGAGATGAGTTTGAAAATGCCTGGAAAACTGAGCGTGTCTGAGCAGTGGTCAAACATCTCGTAGCCAAGAGAGACATTAGGAAGCAGACTGGTGGAGTTATTGATCTCCTCTACGATGAATCTCATCAACTGAAACCTCCGATAATTTGAGATGCTGAAGGGTTGACTGAGGACAACATGACATGACAGAAAGAAATCTAATAACTCCAAAAAGATTCACCACATACTTCAACTATTAAAACAATATCAACATTTTACATGTATGAATGCTGCAAAGGGACATATTTATCAAACATGGGTTCAAGAAAATTCTTATATCCTCTCAAGCAGCCAAAGCTCATTACATCAACTAATGATCAGCCATAACATTATGACTACACATCCGTTTTGAATTAACCTCCTCTTTTGCTACTAAAACAACTGTTAGGGAATTTTTTGGTCAAAGGTTATGAATGTTTTTATCACTATGGCTGAGAATGTTAACTCTGCCCATGGATCATATGTTTGGGTTAGCAGAAAGGGCTGGATGAGGAGCTGGGTGATGCTGCAGCATGCAGCTAGAACTCCAAGGACACGTCCGAGTCTGTGAGCATGACTGAACTGATAAGGGTATAAAAACAAGCTTCACACAAGCGCCACGGCAGATTCTCGTGACTGGTTTTCAAGGATTCAAGGATTCAAGGTTCTTTATTGTCATTCACGTCACATGTGGTACATGAGATGGAACAAAACTATGTACACAGGGTCTCAGTTGCACCCAACAAAAATACAAATTGTAAATAAAGACAGTAATAAGATCCAAGACATGAACTAAGAATACACTAAACTAAGAATATACTAGTACAAAACAATGCGCCAAGCAACAGCAGCACTGTGAGCTGCATGTGTGTACTTTATGTATATTTATGTAACCAGTCCTGAAACTCTGACCTTGCAAGTAAATACCAGTTAAAAATATTCTCCTGCCACTGAGTGTGGTTCCTTTTGAGTAAGATAAAGCGAGAATATTTTTCTCCAACAGTAACTTTAACCAGTCTGAACATTCTGAAGATATTTGCAGGAGCTGCTTTATGGGAGCTTGCTTCTTGGGAAGTATGATTATTCTGCACAGATGTTAGGTTTTTTAGGGTTTCTGGGGTCTGGTCCTGCATGTTGTGTTTTCCCTCATGTGTACCAGTCACCCCTTAGCGTTTCTCCCTGTGTCCCAGCGCTGTCGCACCTGTGTCAGATCCTAATCACCGCAGGTGTCTGTCATTTCACCTTGTCAGCGTGTGTATATACTCAACCCCTAGGTGTTATGTCTTTGTCTCTGGATTGTCCTGTCTAAGGCTTTAGGATCTGTCTTCCTTCGTGTCCTCCATACAGTAAGTTAGCTGCCCCGTCAGCATTTTGCATTGTTAATTTATAAAATAAACATTTTACTTATTTTATTGGAGTCTCTGTCATCTTCCTGCACACGGGTTCACACACGTCAGTCAGATCATGATAGGGTTAGTGGCAATGCCAAATCAAAGTCGATGAATACCAGAGAGGTGAGCAGTTCCTCTCTGTCAGTGTCATATGTAATTGCATGTTTGCTCAACATAAATGAACAGCATTGATGCTGAGCAAACATTTGCACTAAGTTGGGCTCACATGTGCTTTTCTTTTTGAAAATGCATGCAATGCAAATGTTAATATTTCTTTTCTTAATTTGTTTCCTCTTGATGCATGAAATGTTTTAATTTATAAAACTCACCTGGAGCAGTCAAGGGCTTCAGGTCTGTCATGCTGAACTGTTCCTAGAACATAATGAATATCAAAAAGCCCACCGATCAAATAATCCCCATCCAGGGTGAACTCTGAGGCTGCAGCAGTGCATCGTGCTGAAACTTGCAGAAAACTTCCCAACAGAACCAGAGAAGCAAGAAACCGCTTCATCGTCAAAGCTTTCCTCGTCGAATGTGGATTCTGGTGGGACTCGGTTTATATTAAGTGGTGACAAAGCGCTGATGGTTTAGCTTCTGTCGTCATTTCCACACATGAGAGAAAACATGACATTTGATGAATACATGTCCATAAATGGTTGGATTAGTTTTCACAAATCAGTATGCAAAAGAATCTTAAGAGCTGTTGCACAAAGGTCAACAGTCACACCACAGACAAACAAGTGTACTGCTTCTGTCAGAAATAACTTGTTTAAACAGTATCAGGATTTTTCCTTTGGTCAAACCAGCAAAATGTTAAAATCCTGACGTGATGTCAGTTAAAAAAAAGTTCACCCCCATGAGTCATTCTCACTCTACTTGTCTTTTCATTTACAGTGTGGATAAGCCGACATCATGTGGCTATTGTTAGACATCGCAGATGAGTTTTTTTTACTTCACTGTCACTGTAAATGTGTGCATGAAAACCTGGAACGGCTGCAAAAATGATAAAAACTCAAACATCACCCTCCAGAACCACTGTTTGACTTGTGCATTCTGAGTTACTGTGATGATGAGTTATCCATTAAAACGATGTCGATAATTATTTTCATCACGAAACACCAAATTGGTAAAAAGATAGTTGTGACTGGGCAGCATGGTGGCTCAGTTGGCAGAGCCGCTGCATCTCAGTGAGAAGGTCGATGGTCCAAATCCTGGCGCGGGACCTTTCTGTGTGCAGTTTGCATGTTCTCTCTGAGCACACGCGGGTTTTCTCCGGGTACTCCGGTTTTCTCCCACAGATCAAAAACATGCATGTTTGACTGATTGGTAACTCTAAATTGTCCTGAGGTGTGAGAGACTGAATGGTTGTTTGTCTCATTTGTCTCTGTGTGTCCCTGTGATGGACTTGGACCTGTCCAGGGTAAAATGTCTTCCCAGTACATTTCTGCTGCTGCTCGGCATGCATTAATGTAAATGATTCTCAGAAGTTGGAAATACATTTCCATGAACTTTTTCCCCAAGCATTCATTTCTGATAAAAAAATTTTTTTTAATGCACTTTGGAAAAACAACCAAATCAATCCTGCACCAAATTGTTCTCAGCAAAATTACGACGTATGAAAGCTTGGACTTTAAGTTATCATAATTTTTTTAATTATATCTTTTTGTTCCATTCTTCTTAAATGTAGTATTTTTTTTCCTAATTCTTAAGTGGTAAGTTCAAACTTACTGCTACTTTAATGTGACTCAGTTTGTTGTTTTTGATAAACATAAATGATTTCAATACATTTAAGAAGCACATTTTTTGTTTCAGTCTCATCTTAGAGCTCAGTTTTTTAGACACTCTTTTTATTTTATTCTATTTTTTTTTAAGATTCCAAATGGGTTTTCTTGGACTCAAAATAGGAGAATCACAAAGAATCTGTGTTAGTAATGGTATAGTTATTTATCATTAATGGCAACTTTTTATTTTACATACTGCTTTGTTCCCTCTTATTTCACTTAGTTTAGTAATAATTTCATATCTTGCATGAAAGTTTTGATCTTTGTTAGTATTTAAAACATTTCAGAACATCTTCTGCTTGTTGAATAAGTTCATTTATTTGTGTTGGGTGCAGTTATTAGATAAGCCAGAACTAAAGAGAGAAAATTAAATAATTTTTGATTCATTTGATTCTGATAAGTATCAATATGTCAGAGATAATTTTTAAACAAATCTGTCCCAAATGTGCATAACTTCACTATGTGAACATATATACGTAATATGTATGAGGACATTTTAATGGGTTAATTCACCAACTAGTTTAGACCTTTTAAAACAGTTTCAACAGTTTTAGATTTATTTATTTATTTAAACAACAACCAGAACAGAGTCACAAGCAAACTCACACAAATTAGTTCAACCTGGAATCACTGGTTTTGGCTAAAGTGCACCTCCTCTTACAAATGATTTGTTCACAGCTCACCACAAGACCACAGAGGTTGTATACGTGCGAGGAAAATTTGCAATAACGCCACAGACTAAAGTGATAAATGGTCAGTTCTGTCACCTGTGTTTGCATTCAGGTGACCACGTGCTGGACGGGAGGAACTCCTCGCTCTCTGCGGTCGGAAGAGAAAACTTTCATCCAGCGAGACAGACGAGTCAATTTTAAAGGTGGGCTGGATAAAAGATTTAAATGCAACAAGGTATAAAATGTAGTAATTATTATGAGGAGTTTTTATTGCAAAGCTAAAAAGCAACTTTTGTTTATTTAAAATATGTCAAGTATCATTATATAATATAATTTAAAAAACCCTGTTTTTGCAGGTTTAAATACAACCTCAGAGGTAAAAAGACACACGACATGATGATGATAGATACTTTATTAATCTCAAGGGAAATTCAAAATCCTTCAGCAGCTACAAACACATGACATGACAGAAAGCCCAAATAGAACCCCTTTGATACATGGCCATAAAGTCCAAACCTTAACTCCCATATACAAGACCAAAATGACTGAGTTGTTAAAAAGTGTTTATTGTGACACATCTTCACTTTAATTCCTGAAGTCAAATTTAGCCTTATTTTCATTCATTTATTCATTCAACCTTTTATTTATACAGATTAATTACATTGAGCCTCATGGACTCATTTACAAGTGAGACCTGTTTAGGCAAACAAAAAAGCAAAAAAAAAAAAAAAATGACAACAGGGTGAGGAGGCAAAAAAAAAAAAAATTAAAAATCATAGCTGGCACTAAGCCCTGGCAGAGACAGCGTGCCAGAAATTGAAAAAAAGACCCCGCACATAAAGCAACACAGTGATGCAGACATTTCACGGGGGAGGAGGCGGCAAAGGCGATGAGACTGTCCATGAACACTTCCATTAAAATATAATTTTTCATTCATTCTCATGTCGTTTCTTGTGCTTCTCCCATGTGCAGGGGTCGCCACAGAGGTTTGACACCGAATGTCAACTTTGACACAACCTGGTCTCAAACCTGTAGCCTCAGGTTTACAAGCCCTGACCACCGAGCTACTGCAGCCCCTTCTCTCCCTTCTTCACAACAGACATAATTTTATAAGAAACAAAAACACAAGTACACACAAAAAAGTTTAAATAATTTTAAAAGTGACTAAATATTGAAACATATGTTTTTGTAAACCTCATTATTATTATCATCATTATTATCCTCTCAATGCATTTTAACAGCAGCAGCAACAATTTGTTCTTGTATCATCCAGTCTTTGTCACTGCAGCTTATCACTCACTCTTTAGTCATTTTGAACCTTTTCTAACACGAGTCAGGGAGTCATGCAGTCTGAACAGTGGTAAAGTCAGCAAAGAGCAGGAAAACTTTTTATTATTCAACGTTTCAAAATCCAAAATTCCAAGTATTTATGTTTAATTCAATTCAGTATATTTATTTAGTACCAAGTCACAACAGAAATTGCACAAAATCATTCACATACATACAAAGCCAATTAGTAAAAGTTCTGTCTAAGGAAGGAAGCCAGCAGACACGTTGAATCTTCACTTCTTCGCAGTCTCCCATCCTGAGCAAGCACGATGGCAACAGTGGAAAGAAAAAACTCCCTTTTAACAGGAAGAAACTTTAACAGCCATCCGATCTGATTCCAAAACAGATTTGAACTGGGAGACAGGCAGGCATGTTTGTTGTGGAAAAACCTTGAATGTGTTTCATAAGAGACTAATTCTCTTATGTCTTCTCTTTATTTTATGAAGTGTCTGAAACTGGAAAGTTAACATCAGATTGTTTTCTCCCCCCAAAGCTTGAAGTGCACGTTCTTTAAACTGTTCGGCACACATTTCATCAGACAGCCACCTGAGGAGTTTAAATTAAGGGTGGAAAATCTCTGAACGGCTTTGTTTTAAGAGATAAGGCATCCGAAGTTTGGTTTTGCCTGTTCCTCCATTATATTGGTTACCATAGTTTTCGGACTATAAGGCGCAATATCAATGAATGTGTCTGTTTTCATACACAAGGCACATTGGATTATAAGGCTCACTGTTGATTTTTGAGGAAGTTAAAGGATTTTAAGTGCATATTATAGTCCAAAAAATATGGTACTGACCAAACATAAAAGTACTCTATAAGATAAAATATCATTAAGCAGAGAGATAGTTTAAGGAGTTGCATAAACCATTTTTGGAGCGGGCGAGAAAATTAAACAAATAAATAACAATTGCTTTCCACTAGACTGATAAATGACCAGAGTGACACTGGAAACAACACCTGGAGATCATCACATTTCCCACGAGAAGCTACTGGCTAATGGTTTTCGTGTAATTTTGAATGAGCCCTTGAAAAAACTGTTGCGTGTTTTTGTGGGGTTGAAATACGATGATGTAACATTTCGGGAGGAAATACCACAACAGAAAAGAGTAGAGGCTCGAGAGGACTGCCAGAGCATTGAGGGTTTGGATGAACTTTCCACGGTAAAGCAGATACACGGTGGAAAACAGAATCCACGTGAGGATCAGCAGCAGCAGGCAGAACGTTATCACTTTAGCCTCGTTGTAGTTTTTCGGCAGGTCTTTCCCCATGTAAGAGAAAATAAAGCAAAGGCAGCACAACAACACAAGCAAAACAAGAGAACAAGACGTTGCTTCAATGTTCAAGTCACAACTTAGTACAATTTGGTCTTGGTACCACGATGTTTCGTTGAAGGGTCTGGGGGGGTGACAGGACATGCTGATGATCAGCAACACGGCCTGAGTGGTAAATGCTCCGGTGATGAGCAGCCATTGTCCGTGGTATTGTGCCCACCAGGTTTGGAGTTTGGGGAACTTGGCGGCTATTTTAAAAATGCAAACAATTTGAAAAGAGCGCACAACAAAACATGCAAGACACACAGTGTAGAACAACAGAAAAGGGATGTAGCGTAAAATACAGGAAAACGTTGTGGGCCTTCCAAAATAAAAGAACACGCTAAGAGTACACAAACCGAGACAGACTAAAATCAGGAAGCACATCATTCCTCCAGCAGATCTGACAACAGGCGTGTTGTAGTTGACGGCAAAGAGAACCGACACAGCCAGGGTTATGCCGATAAATATCCAGGCCCCGACGAAGACCACTATGGCTCCAGCGTCTGTGAGGGGGACGAACTCCACCAGCCGCAGACTGCATGATGTACTTCCCATCACAGACCACTCCGTCTCTTTACAGGCGTTACACTTGTACGGATTTTCTGTTTTACAATGCAGACATACATTTACGTTAGCTTCAAATAAAATTTAAAAATCAGTGTGTGACAACATAAGGTGTCTCTGTTTTATCAGCACATATCAACTTCTTGAACATTTATAAGATTATAGCTAACTGAGCTTCCATTTTGGCCTTGAGTGGCCATTCACAAGTTCCTCTTTAAATATTGTAAACTGAACATTAACACAGATGTTCTGATATGACCATTTGTATTTTACTTTGAATAGTTCAGTATTGTCTTCTTGATAACTGCATTGCACATTTTAATTACTGCACTTTTGTGATATAAACAACCACAGCATGGCACAGCTGAAACAGGTCAGCGTATTCTGCTGTGGAGCAAGCTGCACGTTGCACCAGATTAGTGTGAATGCTTCATAAACAACAGTCACAGAACATTGTGATCCATTTTTCTTCTGTACGTTGTTTGGCATCTTTTTCGTTCCACAATTTTTGTGCTATTTCAACAAATCATAAATCAAAACGTTCAGCTCTTTCAGGACAATCCTGCACTGACTTTTGATGCAACTTTTAGCTTTTTGTAATATTTAGGCTTTTCTGCCACTTTTTTCTCATGAAAATGAATTGAGCTCATTTTACATCCTTCAGATCTTTAGATCTGTTTACAGCGTTTTTCTGCTCCTTTCACATTTTGTTCTGCTTCAGCTTCTTTCAGCTTCCTTGTGCAAATTTAAACATTTTTTCAGCTACTTTCAGCTAATTTCACATGTTTTGTAGTTGCTTCTGATTCTTTCTGCTAACTTCAGCTTGTTATGCTCCTTTCAGCTAATTTCTGAAAGTTTCAGCTTTTTCAGCTAATTCCTTATTTTTTCCACTAATTTCAACAGTTTTCAGCTTAATTCAACAAAAATACACTCTCCCCTTTTTCCTTCTCATTATTTAAGCTTCTTTCTTTCTGCTTTCTTCTGCTAACTTAGGCTTGTTCTTCCATTTCAGCTACATTTCAGCATGTTTTGAAGTAATTTCAGCTGTTTTTCAGCAAGTTCTTCTGCAATAAGCATTCACACTGCATTTTCGCAGGAAATGCAATTTCTCTAGTTTTATTTGTAATGCACTTTCTCATTTACTGGAAGAGTGAAAAGATGTAGATTCTTATAGTCCCAAGCAGTTTTAGGTGCACTGAGGGTTTTGGTATTAAAATACAATAAGAGTTTGTTTTGTAAATGAAATAAAAGAAAATAACATTTTAATAGTATTTTTCTTTTAAAAAATAATACAGAATAAAAATCAACAGAATGAAAAGGAATAAACAATATGAATTTTAGGCCAAAACCATCAGTGCATGATTAAAGTTTTTATTGATTTATTTATTGGTTTCATAATGAAGGTAAAAACAAAAGATGCACATTGAATTCAAACTTTGCAAAAAGTCTCCTTCTGTAATATGTAAATATTTTACCTGTAATGTTGACATAAGTTTCAGCAGGACAGATTTTGCAGCTGAAGCAGCATTTCTGGATTCCGATTTGTTTTTTCGCGTGTCCTTCTTCACATTCTGGGGAACACAAGGCAGTCGGCACCTGCATGAGACAGTTCAATGAAGAACAAGACGAGCATCAACAATTCTGTGGAGACTGAAGGTGACCATGAACAGAAACTATTGGCATACTACGTGTTTTAACTTTTAAATTAAATGCACAATAATGCACTTATGAAACAAAACTGAATATCTACATTAGACAAATTTAAACCAAACGGAAAACTCCATTCTGTCAAACCACGTCTCTGCACGCTTTACCGAGAAGATACTTACGTCTCCATTTGCATGCCACTGAATTAAGGAGTTGTTGATGTAGAAATACTCAGTTGGGTAGTGATGAAAGCCGACTTCCTGCGCTTCACCACTCTGGTTCCAAAAGACTATCGAAAAGGATCCAAAGTCTGGGTTTCCATCCTCATCAAACTGGACGCTCTGGTTTAACAGGGTGAAATTGGACTTCCTGAGCTCTTCTAGAACCTGATGATGATGATGATGATGATGAGAGGGTCATTGTCAGCACAATGTGACACTTTGATGCCTCCGATTAGAGGTTTCAGAATGTAGTTTATCAGATTGTAGATTGAAAAAATCTCCTACAGATTAAATTGTTGGTATTTTTTTAACTCTTACATAATTAAAGATCAAACATTCACTGAAAATGCTTTTTGTACCAGAGTTTAAACTAAGGTTATTTTATGTTGAGAAATGACAAAACTCTAGCTGTTTTGGTCAAACTTTGAAAACAAAGATATGCACATATTACAAAATATCACACGATGCCATGCATAGAGTATGAATGATCATCTACTACCTCATCAAATTAAAGCCCCATGCCTGCATAACTGACAGACTTATAGTCATTTTTGTGTTTGCCAATGTCAGCAACTGTGGTGGCCATCTTGTTGATCAATCAGTTGTATATTCACATTAAATGATTACTTTCTGAAAGTTGAATTGCAATTTGTCCAATGTTTCATGAGATATTTTGCTAACAGACATACAGGGTTGACTCCAACAGTTTTAAGCAAAGATCTTGTGTATTGAGTACCATTTGTAGTGTTATAAATGACGCTCAGCCACTACTATGCTAAATTTTAGCACACTATCTGTAAAATTAACTGAGTTATAGCTATTTTTATGCTCTAATGTTTTATTTTTATTATCAAATATTGTTTATTTTTAAAGTAATTTGGCTGTGGCAGCCATCTTCAAATGATATGACACAAAAATGTAAATGCACATGCAATGCTGTCTTTCTAAAAGGGTCAGTAAAATATGTCCCGTTGTTCATGAGACACTTTGAGGTAACAGTTAGAGACATGAACACACATCTAAACAGTAGCAAAAACATTATCACCCATCTTCACCTGTCAGCAGCAGCCCATAAATATACAAAATATTTGTTGACTCACATTTTTTTAAAAGATGCAGTATTATTTGTCATCCCACAAAGCATTTTCTGTATGCAACTTACAAAAAAAGCTCATTGTTAATCATATTTTAACTCTATTCTAAATACAAGGACTGAAAATACTTACAACGTACGGGTGCACTACAGTGCTCTCATCACATCTGCCGGTGTCGCACTTTAAGGTGTTGTGTAAGGCGTGCGCGACGGCGTAAACAGCCGAATAAACAGCAAAAGTGAACGATGGATCTACAGCAACAATGTCTGCTGCAAGCAGTTGGCTGCAGTTGCAGACCTGGTTACAGAAGGTCTGCTGGGCTGCATCAGCACAAGGTGTGAGACTTCTAGCAGAGTAGACAAAGTCGTTGAAACCTGGAAGCGTTATCACGGGCTGCGCCGCTCCGAGCACAGTTCCGATGTTTTTGATCCCCTTTAATTTTGGAAGCCGTTTGTTTAAAGACCACCCGTCATCTGCTATCCACACTTTGTTTGTGAAATTGAGTCGAATCGCTGCTTCGATGACTGCTTCTGCATATACTTTTGGAGCAAAAACAACAATGATGCTTATATTCTGCTCATCTATATGCTGGAACATTTGGGAGAAATCAGTGTTTTCATTGAAACCCTTGTTGTAAGCCAAACAGATTTCAGTGGATATAATCCTCTTCCTGAACAGTTCCAGGCCGTCGATTCCAAAATCGGTATCGCTGTTAAGAAAAGCAACCCAACGCCACTTGAAGTGTTTAATAATGTTAACAATCACACTTAGGGTGTTGTCATTAGGATGCACTGTTCGTAAAAAAGACGGGTATTTAGATTTTTCAGAAAAGATGGACACAGAAGATCCATAGCTGACCTGTAAGGAACACAGCAACACAAACATATATCATTTATTCCTAATGAGGACAATAAAACATATAAAATTGCCTTTAAAATATTAAATCTTCAGTGAAGGACCCAGAAAACACAACACTGGAAAATTTACCATAGGAATGAGATCCACCATGAAGAGTGGAGCAATAGTCAGGGTATGGGTGCTTGTGAATGGACCAACCACCGCAAAAATTTTGGACAGGTTCTGGTACGGTTCATCCCAAGGACGGAGCAAATCGTTCACTGAGATGAGTTTAAACACTCCTGCAAAGCTCAGTGTGTCTGAGCAGTGGTCAAACATCTCGTAGCCAAGAGTCACGTTTGGCAGCAGGCTGGTGGAGTTGTTGATTTCCTCCACGGTGAATCTCATCAACAGAAACCGCCGATAATTAGGAACAAGGAAAAGTTTGCTACAGAAAAAAGACATTCAATTCAATTTAGTTTATTTATATAGCACCAAGTTTCAACAGAAGTCAGCTCAGGGCACTGAACAGAAACTTTCATATGCATAAAAATTAAGTTAAAACATCTGAGGAGCAGACTGCTTTGTATTTAACTCCATCGCAGAACTCAACTTGAGCAAGCATGGAGGCGACAGTGGAAAGGTAAAACTCCCTCATGAGGAAGAAACCTTTAGCAGAACTAGGCTCAGGACAAGCGGCCATCTGCTTCGACTGGCTGGGTTTGAGAGGAACTGATATACAATGGCAGGTGAAGAATCACGTTAAGATAAAAATGGTATCAAATGAAAACTATTCAATTTGAGCAAATCATTTTAAGGAAATGAGGTCAGTTTGTCCTCCAGTAGTCTACGCCTATAGCAGCTATAACAAGCCAGCTCTAACTGTAGGATTTATCAAAAAGAAAGTATTAAGCCCAGTCTTAAAACTGGACAAAATGTCAGCCTTACGGACAGAAACTGGAAGCTGGTTCCACAAGAGAGGAGCCTGATAACTTAAGGAAAGACCTTCCTCCCATTCTGCTTTTGGAAACTTTAGGAACCGCAAGTAAACCTGCAGTTTGAGACCAAAGTGCTCTGTTAGGAAAATATGGAACAATAAGATCTCAAATATAAGATGGAGCTAGGTTGTTGAGAGCTTTGTAGGTTAGAAATAAGATTTTGAATTCAGTTCTGAATTTGACAGGGAGCCCATGCAGAGAAGCTAAAACTGGAGAAATCACAGCAGAAATCTCGCGCCAAGCTTTTAATAATAATGTCTGCAGAAAGATCTGTTCAGCAACATCCAAGTACAGTAATGCATTTTTTTTTTACATTGCTCTATTTAGCATCATGCACAGTAACTTTTAAGTAAAAATTGAATGATTGGATATTTTTGTGACAGATTTTGAAAGTCCACATATTTTCTACGCAGCACTGCTTTAAAAAGGTTTCTACCCAATATAGTAAACTATATTCAGGTGTTTTATAAAACTCACCTGGAGCAATCGATGGATTCTGGTCTTTCCTGATAGAGAGGTACATTGACCTGGTGAATGTCAAAAAGTCCACCGATTAAATAATCTCCGTCCAGATGAAACTCGGACTCTTGGACGGTGCATTTACTGACGGCGTGTAGGAAAGATCCCACAACACACATCGCAGCAAGAAAACGTTTCATTCCTGTCATCGTTTTTCCAGTTTGACGTGAACTCTAAAGAGACTCCACTTCTTCTAAGTTGTGAGACACTATTGAGCTCAGCCTAATCATTTCCATGCTGGTGGTCATAACATGCATACTGAGAAATGGTTGGAGGAAAATTCACATATTTGCATGCAAACGCATCAAAACGTCTGTTGTCTTTCCTCTGTGTGACAGAGTTCAACAGTCATCATGATGTTTGATGTCTCTGCCATAATTATATCTCACTCTTTGAGACAATGTAGACTGTTGTTAAAAGAGAAAATAAGAAAATCTAACATTTGGTTTCAAAATTTATCCATAAAAATAGTAAAAATTGAGACCAGATTTGAATACTTATAGCATAAAGCATCACACATCAGAGATCAGATGTTTCATGTGTATTTAATGTAGACAACACAAAGATGATATTATATTTTGTTCATTTTTTGTCATCAGTCTGCAAAAGACATAACTTTTAATGGAGGCTTACCATGACTGAAAACATCTAAAACAAAATCTTTATTTTGATCTTATTTATTCTTTGTTAATTCTGCTTTTTCATCAGAATATTCCACTACACATGTCGCTTCACATTCAGACATGTTTTAGAAATGTGATTTTTTTTAGCTTCAGATCAATATGAATTTTAATTAACTGCAGCTTGACAAAAACCTCTAATCATAGTAAACCTTCTCATTAGACATAAATCAATCATAATTCTTACTGTAAAGCATAATATTGTACATTGTGAATTTCCCTAGACATTAAAGTATTTGTTGAGCTAATCTGATCTAAATTAAATGTCAAATTTTTAAGGACATTTATTGATTGTCTTAGACATATTTAAAGATCTATCTCTAAAAGGCAAATTAATTATATACTATTTTAAACTAGCTTATGAATTATATTTTACCTTTTCCAATGAACATTTAAATAAACTCATAAGCTGGTTGTGCTTTGAGTTTGTTTTACGACTTGTGATACCACGATCATTTCATTAAAACACCACATTTATGCTCTATAATACTTTAAAACCATCAAATTCTAAGAGTGAATAAAATGTCTGTAAATTTTTTAAAAAATTAAGATAAAGGGATTTAAAACACGTCTCACAATCAATTATAGACTACCTGTTTTGGCTTAAAATCACAAACTTTTTTAAATGTTTCTTGAACTAATTAAAAATCTGTGTATAAAAGTTAAAAATCAAAATCAATAAGAAGCTGATTGCATTAAAAACGTGTATAAAAAAGTCAAAGAAACTGTTTGTTACATACTGAAAACCGAGATATTTATTTGAAACTGTGGAAAAATTGCAATAAAAATAATTAAAAGAATCTTTAGCTTTCCACTTTTTTTCAAAATCAAGTAATTCCTGAGTCAACCAGTTTTTTTTCCAGCTGTCAGAAAGTTTATTATAATTTTCAAACATAAGTTTGGGCTTTTGTGACATCTGCTGGTGAATTAGTAAAACAGAACAACAACAAGCAGCAAACTTTAAACACTGCACTCCTGTTGGAGATGAGCACTGCAGAACAAGACAGTCAAAAAATCTTTATTGAAAAAGCTTTATGAAACGATTAACAGATTGTTGTGGCGTTCTCCCCATGGTTGGACCAAGTCATTGACTGAGATTTAAGATTTCTGGAAACATTTTGCATTTGAGTAGTCAAATATTTCATAACCAGGGGTCACATTTGACAGCGGGTTGGTCCGATTATTTATTTGCTCTACAGAGAATCTCATCAGATGAATCCTCTGATAACTTGACAGACTAGTGAAAGACATTAGAGATGAGTATTAAGATCTAAACAGTAAGTCCAGTTTCATCTATCAAAGACCTACAACATATGTTACAGATGTTACAGCTTTGTCAATACTCCCACGAAATATGGTAATTAGATAATTATATGGAGTGAATGTGCTACAGTAATTGAGTTAACCCAATAAAACTAAAACTCCTGCCCACAAAAAACAGTACACATACATTTTATTATTAGTTTTGATGTATATATTTCTGAATTTGTTGTAAAAACTCACCTGGAGCAGTCAACAGCATCTGCTCTTTTCATATAAGCAGGACCATCAACAAGATGAATACAAAATATACTCCGTATTAAATAATCAACCTCCAGATGAAACTCCGAGGCTGTGACACAAACATTGATTCACGACGTAAACTCCCAGAAGACCTACTAAAGGAAGAAAATGTATCATTCTCACATTATTTATCATCTTGATGTTAACTGCAGGGATTAGCATCAGCGTTTTTATGCATTTCTTGGAATCACAATTTCCTTTTGTTCATTTCCATGCACCTAATGATGCATGACTTCAGATGTCATGTATACAATGGGTGGAGGAGAATTCACAAACGAGTATGCAAAGAGAATCCAAGCTGTTCGTGGCTCTTTTTAATTTCTCTGTCAAAACAGAATCTGGTGTGCTTATTTTCAAGTTTTTCTCTAAGAAAAGGTACTACTAAATGTCCATCAAAAAACAAACAAACAAACAAACAATCCTGAACTGCACATCTCTGTGGGTAGTCTATTCTTTGATTGGCACTGCTGGTTTGACCTTGCCAGTGCGTGGTGGCCTCTTGCTGGAGGTTGGGGTGGGTCTTTGTGCACTGGGGTCTATGGACTAGGGGTTGCATGATGTCATATTTTTTAAAGTCGAGTTCAACATAATAAAAGTCGAGTCGACACCGACTAGTCGCTGTGACGTCATAGGAACCCAAGACACTATATCATATTGGCAAAAAAACATTTATTATTTACAAAAAAAGAACAACAAAACATCAGGAGCATATACTGTATTTATGCTCCTACCATTTATCTTATTGCAGATAAGTCACAGGAAAACCAAAACTGTTATTAAGCTGTGTTGTTTGGAAATGCTAGGTTGTTACTAGAAGCTAGGTTGTTGACAGCTTTATAAGTTACTCCCTCACAAGTTTGTGAGGGAGTTTTTCTTTTCCACTGTTGCCCTGTGCTTGCTCAGGATGGGAGACTGCAACGAAATGAAGACTCGTTGCAATCTGCCCTACCATAGATATATAATGTTACAAATTAAACTTTTATGTAAACGAATGTTTCTGTTCAGTGCCCTGATGACTTCTGTTGTGACTTGGCATTATATAAATAAACTGAATTGAACTGAACATTTATTATATGAGATGGTTTGATAATGGTTATTATTAAGGTATGTTTATCAAATCAATAGTTTAAAGGTTTTTGTAGATAAATGTTTTTTCTATAGGGATGAGCTGTGAACGACAACAAAAAAGTTACTCTGTGTTTGTGTGCCTTCACAACCAAATAAACAAAAACTTTGGTTTTCAACCAGGTGCCTACAGTTTATGGTAAAATGCTGCATCCTCTTACAAATGAGTTCTGCACAACTTCATCTTTGGCCACACATATGTTTAGAAACATCATTTGCAATGCCTCTGTGGATGGCCATGATATTTGATCAACAAGCTGAAGTGCCAGTTTGAATCTGCTTCTTCTGGTTTCCAGAAGACGAATGGAAAAGGTCATGAAGTGATCAACAAAGCATCAAACAATAAATGTCATATAGGACATGGAAGGCAGACAAACTACTTACAAATTTATTTTTGTATCCATCCATCCATTTTCTTCCGCTTATCCGGGGTCAGGTCACGGTTGTAGCAGCTTAAGTAGGGAGGCCCAGACTTCCCTCTCCCCAGCCACTTGGGCCAGCTCTTCCGGGGGAATCCCAAGGCGTTCTCAGGCCAGCTGAGAAACATAGTCCCTCCAGCATGTCCTGGGTCTTCCTCTGGGTCTCCTCTCAGTGGGACGTGTCCGGAACACCTCACCAGGGAGGTGTCCAGGAGACATCCTAACCAGATGCCCGAGCCACTTCAACTGGCTCCTCTCGACGTGGAGAAGCAGCGGCTCTACTCTGAGTCCCTCTCGGATGGTCGAGCTTCTCACCCTATCTCTAAGGGAGAGCCCAGACACCCTGTGGAGAAAACTCATTTTGGCTGCTTGTATCCGAGATCTCATTCTTTCGGTCACAACCCAAAGCTCATGACCATAGATGAGGGTAGGAAAGTGGGTAAATTGAGAGCTTCGCCTTTTGACTCAGCTCTCTCTTCACCATGACAGACCTGTACAGCGCCCACTTCACTGCTGACGCTGCACCTATCTGCCTATCGATCTTGTGTTCTATGTTTCCCTCATTCGTAAACAAGACCCCAAGATACTTGAACTCCTCCACTTGGGGCAGGACCTCCTCCCTGACCCGGAGAGGGCACTCTACCCTTTTCCGGCTCAAGACCATGGCCTTGTATTTGGAGGAACTGATCTTCATCCCGGCCGTGTCGCACTCGACTGCGAACCACTCCAGCGAAAGCTGTAGATCATGATCTGATGAAGTCAATAGGACCACATCATCTGCAAAAAGCAGAGACGCGATCCAAAGGCCACCAAAACGGATCCCCTCTACACCTTGGCTGCGCCTAGAAATTCTGTTCATAAAAGTTATGAACAGAATCGGTGACAAAGGGCAACCTTGGTGGAGTCCAACTCTCACCGGGAACAAGCCCAACTTACTGCCGGCAATGCGGACCAGGCTCTGACACCGGTCATACAGGGACCCAACAGCCCATATCAAAGGGCCTGGTACCCCATACTCCCAGAGTACCCCTCACAGGGTTCCCCGAGGGACGCGGTCGAACGCCTTCTCCAAGTCCACAAAGCACATGTAGACTGGTTGGGCAAATGCCCACGTACCCTCCAGGACCCTGCTGAGAGTGTAGAGCTGGTCCAGTGTTCTACGACCAGGACGAAAACCGCACTGCTCCTCCTGAATCCGAGGTTCGACTCTCCGATGGACCCTCCTCTCCAGAACCCCCGAACAGACCTTACCAGGGAGGCTTAAGAGTGTGATCCCCCTGTAGTTGGAACACACTCTACGGTCCCCCTTTTTGAATAGGGGGACCACCACCCCAGTCTGCCAATCCAGGGGAACTTCCTCCGATGTCCACGCAATATTGCAGAGTCGCGTAAGCCAACACAACCCTACAACATCCAGAGCCTTAAGGAACTCTGGGCGAATCTCATCCACCCCTGGGACCCTGCCACCGAGGAGCTTTTTAACCACCTCGGTGACCTCAGCACCAGAGATTGGAGGGCCTGACCCAGAGTCCCCAGGCTCCGCTTCCTCAGTGAAGACTGTTATTTTTGTATAAAAAAAGTTATACTATTCACAGCACCTCAAACATAACAGATGTCTTTAGGTATTTATGTTTATGGTTTAATTTGCTTTACTTTAGAAACCCATCTTTGTTTGTGTTGGAAGACGACATTTTTTAATGCAGATTGCTGTAGTTATGGAGGATATTTATACAAAACTGTGTTGATGACAGAGCAAACTTATTTTTAATGCAAATCCACAGTTATTCTAAGCCTGGTGTTTGTCAAGAAAAAGTTCGGTCTCTGGCTAGTCTAGCCAGCACTTTATCAGTCTTAAATGTATCTATCTGTCCATCCATTATCTTTATCCGCTTCTTCCTTTTCGAGCCATGGGGGTCACTGGCGCCCATATTCAGTGGTCACTGTGCGAGAGGTGGGGTACACCGTGGACAGGCCACATAGAGACAAATGAAACAAACAATCATTCATTCAACATTTATTTAAACAAGTTAGTCTCACTCATGCCCAAGGACAATTTAGAGTTACCAGTCAGCCTAACATTCATGTTTTTGGCCTGTGGAAGGAAACGTGCTCAGAGGAAATCAACACATGCACAGAGAGAACATGCAAACTCCACCCAGAAAGGCCACCGGCCAGGATTTGATCCGGCGACCTTCTCGCTGAGAGGCAACAGCTCTACCAACTGTGCCACTGTGCCACCTAGTTAACTTTATATTGGAAATTGAAGGTGCATCTATAACTGCATCCATGTCCAGACACGTTGATTTCTTGTGGTAGTCTCAGTAGAAAAACACAAGTATTCATGTAGACATTGACCTAATGTGGTTGCAGATTATTGGGGCACTCAAAATAAATAAACAAATACTAAAAACTATCTTTAACTCACAAAAACCTGATAGATATCTAATTACAGACAAAATGCTGGCTTCTTTTTTTATTTACCTGAAAAGATAATTTATGTTGCAAAAAGATCTGAAGCTCTCGACCTTGACCTCTCTAAGATTTGAAGCTCTTGACCTTGACCTCTCTAAGTGGCTTTAAACATCTGTTAAGCTCCTGGCAAAAACCAATGCAGACATGTTCCTGTTTTTAGTTTTCTACACCGCCTTATAATCTAGCTGTTTTTTCGCTACTTTTCCTTTAATTACCATTTTATTTTCACTTGTTAAAAAAACATTTAAAGTTGTACACATCCTTTATGATTGTCTATTGTTGTCCACTGTTGTCATCACTCTTTGTTAAAATTCAGGTCTCTCTTGTAAATGAGTCCCGGAGGCTCAGCGACCTGTAAAAAAAGATAAAGGTTGAATGTAGCTTTAGCGGCTAAGCTAACTATGACTGTGTAATAACATACAGTTTATAATGTTTTTATTAATTATTTACTGACAAAAACACTGACACGTGCAATGATAGTTTAGTACAAAATTGAAGATAACTGCAAAGATTATCATGCAAATGGTTTTATTTCTTTTAGTTCATGCTAAATGCTTTGTGTGAACTGATACAGCATGTATTTGTTCAATTGATAACAAGACAGCAATTCTAAAATATAACCATAGAAGCACACATTTCAAGAATAATAATAATAATTAAAAAAATTGATTAAATAATAATGCCGTACACAGTTAAGTTCAAACACACAATAAAACATGTATTTAAAGGTTTTCACAACATTGATGAGCGTGCACAAAGCAAGATGCTAGTTAACAAAAATCTTATCAGCATGAACCTTTTTCATAGTCATCAGCTCTAATTCTTTGAGAATGTCACTAAAACAGCTTAGGAGTGCAGTGCATTTGTAAAAATGATTTTCAATAAAATAATTTTTTAATTTATTTGAAGAGCATTAGTCAGCAGCACATATTTAAAGGGTTTTTACTGGCTAACTGTTTTGGTATAGTTCTGAATGAGACCTTGGAAGTGCTGCTGTGTGTTTTTGTGCGGTTGAAAAATAATGATGTAACATTTTGGGAGAAAGTACCACAACAGGAAAGAATAGAGACTGGAGAGTACAGCCAAAGCAGTAAACGTGTGGATGTGCTTTCCGTGGTAAAGTATACTTGCGGTGGCAAGAATGATCCAGGTCAATATCAGCAGGAGAAGACAGAAAGTGATCGCTTTGGCTTCGTTGTAGTTTTTTGGAAGGTCTTTTCCCATGTAAGAGAAAATGAAGCAAAGAGCGCACAGGGACGAAAGTAAAACCAAAGAGGCAGATACAGATTGAAAGTCAGGTGTGCAGCCAAGTATGATAGATTCTGAGAATGAAACCGTGTCGTTGAAAGGTTTTGAGGGAGCAACGGAATAGCCAATGGTCAGCGTGACAGCCTGAGTGACAAATGCTACAGTGATGATCAACCATTGGCCGTTATATTTTGTCCACCAGCTGAGGAGGTTGGGGAATTTGGCAGCTATTTTGAAAATGCAAACTATTTGAAAAGAACGCACAACAAAACACGCCAGACAAACGGTGTAGAACAGCAGAAAAGGTAAAAACTGTAAGATGCAAAAAGCAGTTGTGGGCTCACCAAAATAAAAGAACACACTAACATCAGACAAACATAGGCAGGCTAAAATCAGGAAGCACATCAGTCCTCCAGCAGATCTGACAACAGGCGTGTTGTAGTTGACGGCAAAGAGAACCGACACAGCCAGAGCCAGGCCGATGAAGACCCAGGCCCCGACTATGATCACTACAGCTCCACTGTCTGTAAACAGGACGAACTCCACCAGCCGCAGACTGCATGATGTACTTCCTGTTTCAGACCACTCCGTCTCCTTACAGCTGATGCAGTCATAGCGATCTTCTGTTTTACAACAAAGTTAAAGTAAACTTTAGATGAAGGTTTATTATAATGTATCAGCTTCCAAAAATAGTTGTCTTATCAAGCCTTATAGTAATAAGAATTGGAGTTAATTGTAACTGGACTCACAACTTGTGGATGAGCCAATTGTTTAAAAGCTCGTATTCAAATTACTTTAGACTTTAAGCTCCAACTCAGCCACTCAGGCAATGGAGAAGCAGACTGTGTTAGTTTAGTTGAAACATTAAAACAGATTGTTCTGAGTCCATTTTTTCTTAATCTATAGCAACCACGTCTTAAATATGTGTCAATACTGAAGGTTTTATAAGATCAGAATACATTGACACTGTAAGAAAGCTGATCCTTGACCCTTTGAATGGAAAGTTTATCTCGTATTTTTTTCAAGAATACTTTTGTTATCTCGTGTTTTGCTCAATCACATAAATGTTTAACCTTTGAGTACATTTATACACTCAACCATACAACTATGATCATAGCAATAAAAAAAAAAAAAAGGCTGAAGAATGTTGGCTTTGATTTAAACACGTTTGCACATATTCCTCCTTATATGCACCATATATTTATTTACCTGTAATGTTGATATAAGTTCCTTTTGGACAAACTGAACAACTGAAGCAGCATTCATGGATTCCTTCTTGTTTTCTGGCGTGTCCTGCAGGACATTCCTGGGAGCAGAACGATCTAGGCACCTGCCCAAATCAAGCATCAGTCATATAGAAAATTCAGATTAATTCTCTGTAGGAATAGCACTGAGACAGGATGATTTAAATGATCAGTTACTCTATAGCAGAGCTATTCAACTAAACTGCTCAGGGGCCACAGTTACTGAAAGCCAAGAGCTCAGGGGCCGGACAGCCAGTCGTTATTGTCGTTAAATAAGTTTGTTTAATGGTTTAACATCTAGTTATTATGGTAGCCCTAAGGTGTAAATGAACATTTGAAAAAAAACAGAATTACATTGAGCCAAAACGGAAATAGCCGGAATCACATTTGAAAAAATGGAATTACATTAAGCCACACTGGAAGTGGTGGGTTTTTTTTTTTGTGTGTGTGTATATATATATATATATATATATATATATATATTTTTTTTTTATGTATTAACAACATAAAGAAGAACAACAGAACAATGTACACTACACACACAACAGAGGTACAGTTAGCAGCCTAGCCTTTAGCCTGTAGAAATGGAGAGCTATGTTTTGTTCAAGCTTAAGAAAGACGATATGACGCTGGAAAACCTCAACAGGATTAGGGTTAAAGCTTGAACAAAACATAGCTCTCCATTTCTACAGGCTAAACACTAGCCTGCTAACCGTACCTCCGTTGTGTGTGTACTGTACATGGTTCTGTTGTTCTGTTTTATGTTGTTAATAAAGAAAAAACAAACAAACAAAAACCCCACCACTTCCAGTTTGGCTTAATGTGATTCCATTTTTTCAAATGTGATTCCAGCCACTTCCGCTTAATGTAATTCTTTCTTTATTTATTTTTTAATGTTGTTTATTTACACCTTAGGGCCACTGTAAGTTTTATTTAAAAACTAACCCATTGGTGGGCTGAACTGAGCTCACATGTGGGCCTGATTTGGCCCCTGGGCCACCTGTTGAATAGCCTGCTCTATAGTGCGCATATATTGTTGTTGTTGTTGTTTTTTACTGTGAACAATGAGCAATTCCTATTAAAAAAAAATTAACACATATCCATGCAAAAGCAAAAAAATATATAAAAAAAATGCATTTATTACATAAAAGTAATTATGTATCATAATATTTTGACCAGAAAAAAACGACCTCTCCATTTGCATGCCACTGGATTTTGGTGCTGTTGATGTAGAACTGGACCGAGGAGTGAAAATTATAAAAGCCAACCTCCTCTGCTTCGCCTCTATAGTTCCAAAAAACTATTGAGTAGGATCCAAAGTTTGGATCACCGTCTTCATCAAACTGGACTTGTTGATTTAAAAGAGTAAAGTTGGACTTTTGTAGTGCTTTTAGAACCTGTTGGAAAACAAAGAACATCGTTTAAATTTACACTATGTGCTTTCAGTTCACATTGGAGCTCAAAATGCTTAGCATTTACAGTAATTATGCACTTCTTTTGTGAATTTATTGACCACACTGAGCACAGACGTGTTATATATAAAAACAGCAGAGATAAAAATGGCCAGCAATCTTTTTGCTGATCCAGAAGGAAATGACTATAAAGTGGAAAAAAAATAAAAAATAAAACTGACAAAGTTGTGAGAAAAAGTCTCTGCCTCTCTTCTGATTTGCAATCGCAAAGGACAAAAAAAAAAAAAAAAAAAAAAACAAAAATTTTCCCCTTTAAAATCATTTTAAAATTTAATTTTTCAAAATAAAAAAAAAAAAAAAAAAAAAAAAAAAAAAAATCAACAATTTGCCCCTTTTAAATCATTTTAAAAGTTAAACTTTCAAAACATGAAATCAGCTGGTCTGATGAAATTCTTTATGTAATATTTTGTAGACTTACCATGTACCTGTCTACGGTGATATTTCTATCGCACCCGCCATCTCCACACTGCAAGGCAGTGTGCAAAGCATGAGCAATGGCATAAACAGCAGAGTAAACGGGAAAATTGAAAGATGGATCTGCATTATTGATATCGTCAGCGTTCACACTGCTGCAGTCACAATTCTGGTTACAAAACTTCTCTTGGTCTGCATTTTCCTGCTGAGATTCAGCGTTGAAAAAATAGATAAAATCACTAAAACCTGGTATTGTCAACACTGGCTCAGCAACCCCGAGGACAGTCCCAATACGTCTGATCCCTTCTTCTTTAGGGAGCTGTTTGTTTAGGGACCATGCATCCCCGGCTATCCACACTTTGTTGGTGACGTTGTGTTTTATCGCTGCCTCAATGAGCGCTTCAGCCGTCCATTCTGCAGCAAAAACAATGATGACGTTTACCCTCTGTGCCTCCAGCTGTCTGAGTGTTTGAGGGTAATCTGTATCTTCAGTTAGGCCTTTGGTGTATGCCAGGCAGATATCAGTATCTTTTATCTTGCCCCTGAACAAATCGAGGCCATCTTTTCCATAATCATCATTACTATATAAAAAAGAAACCCACCGCCAGCTGAAGTTAATCAAAATATTAAAAACCACCTCAATGACGTCTTTATTGGGATGAACTGTTCGTAAGAAAGATGGGAAATTTTGTTTTCTTGAGAAGACAGAACTTGCAGCTCCATAACTGACCTGTTCAAAATAAAAGTTAAAACTTGGAGAAAAAAAGTATTTTATTGCTTATTTGTATCAGATTAAGAAAGAGCTTCATTTATATTTACCATAGGGATGAGATCCATCATGAAGAGTGGGGCTACAGTCAGTGTCTCTGTGCTCGTGTACGTGCCGACCACTGCTATCACTTTGGACGCGTTCTTCAGAGATTCCTCCCAGGGTTGGATTAAACCGTTAACAGAGATGAGTTTAAAAATACTGGGGAAATTCTGTGTATCTGAACAGTGGTCAAATATTTTATACCCAATTGTTACATTTGGCAGCAGGCTGGTGGAGTTATTGATTTCCTCCACAGAGAATCTCATCAGCTGAAACCTCCGATAACTTGATAGAGTCAAACGTTGACTGTGGATACAAGATGGATGAGAATAAATTTGGGTTTCAATACAGTTTGCAAACAGAGCAAAACCAGTCCAGTTTGGACCTAATCAAAGGGAATGCTTTATTTAATTATTGCACTGACATAAGAAAACACGTGACAAATCATACAATTTGAAGCAAATTTATTGTATAGATTATTACGTATAAGTTTTACTTCCAATAATTTAGTTTTGAAAAGGCATCAAGATTAGAAAACCCACCTTGAGCAGGTGATGGTTTCTGGTCTGTCATGGTACGGCGTTCCACTGACATGATGGATATCAAAAAGTCCACCAATCAGATAATCCCCATCCATCTCAAACTCTGATGCTGTGACGGCTCCGGTCATCAGGAAATGCAGAAGGCATCCCAGTAGACACGGGTGACCAGTAACTTGTTTAGTCCTCATGGTTACTGTTTATCTCCACCAGCATGAACTCAAATTGAACTTGCCTCTGCCTTTTCAGAGAAACAGGCGGTTGTGGCTGAGCTGTAACAAACCGTTCCCAAAACAGGAGATGGATGATGTGTCATAAATGCATAGCTAATGGTTGGAAGGAAATTCACAAATCAGTATGCAAAATCAATCTAATCTGCTGCTGCCATGTCCTGCAACCAATAGGTTTCACAAAATGAATAACAATAAAACTACTTTAATTATGAATCATTTCCTGATGAAATACTCCAAACATTTGATTCACATTAAGTCCAAAAATTCCAAAATAGTAATAAAAAATTCTAGAAAAAAACAATACTGCTCCATATTCATTATATTTACTCATACTTTTGAAACAGATATAATGAACAAAAATTTTAATTTTCTTGAAGGAGTTCGACTGCACTGACAGTTCTCCACATCCATTGGAGGGTTTTCTCCTTGCACCTCTATGCACACTACAGGTGTACCTCACCTCTCACCTGCGTTGAAGGGTGACTCTGAACAGAACAAAGCTGGACAGACAATAGCTGGATGTTTGAAGATGTATTTTAGGGATGAGCTGTGAATCACAGCAGTGATGCTGCTGCATGAGACCGCAAACAAATTTACACAAATGAATTGATTCAGTCAATAAGTTTGGTTTACGTTAAAGCACTGCATCCTCTTACAAATGAGCTCTGCATGAATTCATCTTTGGCTACACAAATCATTTCACAGCTCATCTGCATCGACTCTGGAATCATAGCAGACCCTAAAAAACTTACAAAAAGATAAAACAGCTGAAAACTTACGCAAAACAGAAGATGACTGTCAATGTGTGTGGAGAAAATTAACAAGTTCAATAGAAGAAAATAAATCACAATCAAAATAATTATTTACTTTTTTATGTTAAGAATTTGCATTTCTTTTTAGCTTCACTGAAATGTATTTGTTCAGACATTCGGACAAGACAGAAACTTTATAGACACTTAATCTTCACTTACAATGCATCACAAGTTTGGGTTTCTCTAAGCAAGAGAAGTCTGAACAGCAAATAACGAACAAGCCTAAAAAAGAAGAGAAAAACAGAAACCGCAAAAAGTGAGCAATTTTTAAATCTATTTTAAACAATACAAACTGATAAAGGTGCACATCTGGTTTCAAATGGACTATAAACTTCTATTTACTTAAAACTGTCAATTATAACTGGATCACTGTTTTATCTTGTCTTATCTTAACTGTTAATATAACCAGTAAAAGATTTTTAGTTGCACAGTTCATGGAGCTTCCGCCTCTCAATGAGAAGGTTGCCGGATCGAATCCCAGCCAGAGACCTTTCTGGGTGGAGTTTGCATCTTCTCTGGTGCTCCGGTTTCCTCCCACAGACCAAAAACATGCATGTTAGGCTGATTGGTAAATTGTCCCTAAGTGTGAGTGAGAGAGTGAATGGTTGTTTGTCTCATTTGTCTCTGTGTCCCTGTGATGGACTGGAGACTTGTCCAGAGTGTCCCCCACCTCTCTCATAGTGACGGCTGGATATGGGCACCAGTGACCCCCGTGACCCAAAAAGGAAGCAGCAGGTAAAGATAATGGATGGATGGATTTATAAATTAGATAATATCAATCACCTCTCTAGCAAAGGTGCATGTGTAGCTTCTGTCAGTCATTTGAGGAATAAAATACTTTTTTTCAGAACAGCTGAAAGCTTTACTGTAGGAGTGTGATCCATCATTAAGAGTGGAACAACACTCTGTGTGGCTGTGCTGGTGTTAAGTCCCAACCACTGCTACCATTTAAGTTCTTCAGTGATTCATTCACAGGTTGGATTGAACCATTAACAGAGATTAGGTTAAAAACACCAAGAAAAGTCTCTGAGCAGAGGTCAAATATTTTATATTCAAGAGTGACATGTGGCAGCAGGCTGGTGGAGTCCCTCCACAACCTCCGATAGCTTCATAAAATGAAAGGTTCACTGTGGGAAGTGAATGTTAGGCAAAGGTTTTAAAAACTGTACATACACATTTAGCACTTCAAATGTTTTTTTGCAAAGTTTTGAATTACAGTTAGCGCTGTGAATGTATAAAATATTGCTGAAAAACCGTTGAGTCAGCCTCCCCCCCATCACAGACATCTCCACCTCCAGATGCAGGAAGAGGGCCACCTGCATCATGAAGGACCCCACTCACCCAGCACACACAATCTTTGCCTTGCTCCCCTCAGGCAGGAGGTTAAGGAACATTAAGTGTACCACTAGACTGAGGAACAGCTTCTACCCTGAAGCTGTTAAGACTCACAAATCTCTAAACAGGATAATCATTGTGAAAGAAAAAAAAAATCACTGCAATGCCAGTTCATGTGCTGATTATCCATGCTGCTGATTCATTACATGCTGCTGTTCAGCGTACTTTGCACTAATGGTGTTTAGCGTATTCTTAGTTTATATCTTAGATCATTATTACAGTTTCCTTTTACAATTTATATTTTTGCTGTTGCTGGATGTAACTGGGACCCTGTGTACACAATTTCCTTCCACCTCATGTACCACGTGATGCAAATGACAAAGAAACCTTGAAAACATCTTATTTAATAAGTTTAAATTTGCTCAAAACCTTAGCTCTGATGGGCAAATTTACTCAATAAATATTGCACGTTATCCAGCCATCCATTATCTTTACCCCCTTCCTTTATCAGGTCGCAGGGGTCACTGGTGCCCATGTCCAGCCATCACTGTGCGAGAGGCGGGTACACCCTGGATGGGCCGAAAGCCCATCACAGAGACAACCATTCACTCTCTCACTCACACCTAGGGACAATTTAGTTACCCATCAGCCTAACATGCATGTTTTTGGTCTGTGGGAGGGAACCGGAGTATCCGATGAAAACCCACGCATGCACGGAGACATGCAAACTCCACCCAGAAAGGCCCCGGACTGGGATTTGAACCAGAGTAACCTGCTCGCTGAGAGGCAGCAGCTCTACCAGTTGTGCCACTGTGCTGCCCTATTGCATGTTATTTTACATTATTTTTTATCTCAAAGACATAAACCAATTGGAAAACTCACCTTGAGCAGGTGATGGTTTCTGCTGTCAAAATAAAACTTATTGACACGAGTGTCAAAAAAGTCCACCAAGCCAAAAAACCCCATCCAGCTCAAACTCTGAGGCTGTTCCAGTCTTCATCAGGTCAATGAGCAAACATCCAGTAGACCACAAGTAAACAAAAGCCTGTTTCATTGCAACGTTGCAGATTATAACCTTAAAGATTTTGACAGATTAAACCCGCTCAAAACTTGACTTGTCCTTCTCCGAGAAGTTGGAGTGGAAAACAGTTGAGCTTCTGCAGTCACTTTGATGAACTGGGGATAAACAAGGTGTCACAGCTGCATATTATAACTGTGGGTCAACTTTCAAATCAGCATGTACATTTCTATTTAGCTGATAGAACATGTGGTATTCAGAGTTTTTATATAAAGCTGCAGAAAGAAAAACAAGTTATTTATATTGAATATACTTGATTAAATATGATTGGACTAAATTAGTTCAGCTATTCTCTACAAATAGTTAGAAAAGAAGGAGTCGAGACACTTGTGTACTGTTTCCGAATGGACACAGCCTCTTTAATAGCATTGGAGTGGAAAAAAAAAATACACTCAAGTTTTTAAAATCAACTTTTTTTGTTTTTAAACTGTAGCACAGGAAACTTACATGCAATCCATGAAAAAACATTAAATTTAATCAACTCAAGAACCCAATTAATCAAGTTTGGCTTTCATCAATTTCAACCAAAGTAGATTTTAACGCTTGTAAATAGCAAGGTGGTTGAATGAGGAAAAAAAATAATAAAAAAAAATCTCAAAGCAAAAATTATATTTTAAAATATATATATATATTTACTATATATACACAAATCCAGACAACCCATTAAAACACAAACTTTTTACAGGAAAATGTTTTGCATCCTTACTACAGTGCTGATCAGGTTTTAGTAATGACAGATCCCCGGCATAGAGAGGAACAGAAAAATCAAAAAAGTTCTTAGAAAAACGTGTACGATCGCCACCCACTTCATCCATTTATTTTAGTATAAGTTCTGTCTGTTTTCCTATGTTTCCTCTGAAAAAGAAAGAGAACAACAGTTTGCTTGGAATGACTATATTTAGCTTTTTTTCTTTCAAAAATAATCACAGAATATAAAGAACAACAGAAACAAAGTTAATCTCCATCTTTGGAGCAAAGATGGACAAATGTTCTAAAGACAAAATGGGCAAACAAACTTTAACTTTACTGACCATTTCTTGAATTTATACTTTTAATACTGATTGTGAACTTCAGAGAAACTATTTTAAGAACAATTTTTTTACATTATGATATAAATATCTGAGGTACAGCAAACTGATAACCTTTCCATTTTAAGCTCAATGTCCCCCCACCCCCCCACCCACTCACACAGACTTGTATTATTGTTTAACTTAGTTTACAGAAGTTTCAGCAGCACAGTTTAGTTAATATGTTAAACTTTATCAAGGCAAAACAAGTATAAAGAATAAATTTAAAGGTAGACACAAATTAAGATTTTGGATTGGATAATTGTGAATTCAATGTTGGTGTGTGTGTTACAAGTATAGTCAATAAATTTAAGTCAGTAAGTTCACAAAATAGTTAAATAAAGACCAATTAATTAAAAAAAAAAAAAAAAACCACGTTTGTCCTAAATGCAGTCATTTCAAGTGATAATTTCTGATACTTTAGTTTGTTTTCTGCCCATCATAAATGCATATTTAGATATTACACTTATATCTTCTAAGTGTCTTCATTTAGTACATACAGCAACTGTCTGGGACTTAAATCAGAGCAGCACGTTTCAAATGACAAAAACTTTATGATTTAATATCGAGGCTTTTCACTAGAGTTTACATCTAATCGCATTCTTTTGTAATAAAACTTCACTGACCGTCAATAAACTGTTTAATTTGTTACAAAAAAACACAAAAGTAATTCAAAAGTTGGCATACTTGGATTGAGCAATAACAAAATAATCATTGATGAAAGAACCTGACATTAAAAAAAAATTACTGCAATGCTATTTTAAGTTGGCTCTTTCTTGATGACTAAACTTCACTAATGGTGTAGAAAAGGCAAAAGGCAACACTGAGTCCCATGTACTATTTAACAAATGCAGACAAAGTTTTAAAAGTTTCATGGGCAAGCAAGTCAGTGTTTTGATCCATGCTGCTCATATCCTCCTCCCGACACTATGAATCAAAACTTGGATTTTCATATTATGCTTCCATGTTACTGTCCAAATCCTGCCCCACAGAAAAATAATAATAAAAAGAAAAACAAAAGAAAATCTCTAATTTTCATTACTCCCCACTAGCTGTGACAACTTTTCTGATGGGACAGAGACAAAAAGTAAGGAGTTTTTAACTAGCAAAAGTTTTTCCTGTGTCTTCCTTGCCTTTATATGTCCTCTTCCCGTGTGTGAAGGGTAGGTATCTGTACTTGATCATATGCTGCAAAGGACAGGGAGAAAAACAATTGTCACATCGAACCTTTAACAAAACATTTTCACTACATACATGCTTGCATGTGTTGAGTACAGCACTTTGGCCAACGATGTTGTTTTTAAAGTGCTTTATAAATAAAGCTTTATTGGATTGTACTTAAATTGGGCAGTAGCAGACATTAAGTATACATTAAGAACAGCTGTAGTCACAAGTGTTCAGATATTTAACATAAAAACTTTCACTGCAGAGTATTGTTGTTGTTAATCCAGAGCAATGACAGTCAGAATACAGAGTACATGACTCTGTGTGTTTTACCTTAATCTGCCTCTTCATGGTAATGCAAAAGAGCATGATGAAGTACATTACGAGGATAGGCCAGAACACCGGCACGTTGAAGGCATCGAAAAATGTGCAAATCATAGCGATGACGATGCCTTTTGTCGCTGAGTGCCTGACGAGAAAAAAAAAATAACTTCCGTTAAAATAACACAATCTTATAGGTAACACTGACAAAACTTCAAACGTTTACACATTTTCAACAGTTTAAAAATTATTTTATCTGCAAATATATCAAAAATACTGCTAGAAATTTAGAATGAAGTTAAAAACATTTACAAGAACAAGGAGGCTAATGTGCGGCACACATTACAACTACAGGATGATTAGAGAACTGTATATATACACACATACACACACTTGGATTAGTTAAAATTACAATGTAGTCCAACAAACCAAATTACTTCAGTGACATAACTAATATAAATTATGGGCATTTTAAGAAGAACTGTGAAAATTCAAATCATCTCCAATGTAGCGTCGAAGAGTCAAAACTGCATCTTAATACAGCAGCGTTTAAACTGATTAACTCAAACACTTTAAATCCCTCTCAAATGTGCAACAAGGCAGAACTGGTGTGTTCATTAAAATCCTTTAAAGTCAAAGTGTAACAACCTTTGCTGCAATTTGAATGCTAACATTGTTACAATGAATATCACTGATGATATTGGTCACATGGTTGTTTTAAAAGGAGAAATTAAAATGTGTTTGCTAAAATGTGAAATGTCAACAGGTGCTGTCAGAGAAGGAAAAACAAAGTCTTTATTTGCTGCCTATTCCATCAAACACACAAGTCCGGTTTTATCAGTGTCTTGTATGAAATTACACTGCAGACCATGAGACGCATGAAAATATCCATCTCACTGTGAGTGAATCCAATGTTAGCCTGTTGTCTTTGAACATTTGATTATGTAAGTGTACCATCATTTGTTTAATTTCAATGCAGGAAGTCCTGAATCTTTGAAAACTTTTCATGACTGACAGAAGCCACTCTTCCCCTTTTTCTGTTTTAATAAAACAAGAGGTGAAATAATTTGCATAACCACTTGACAGACAAGATGTACGAGAAACTAAAAATACTCGAATGCAGAATTGTATTCTTTTAGACATAGTGCTCAACATAAACTTACGCTTAACTCCTTTAAAATTATTTATTGTTGTTTTGAAAATCAACCAGACCATGTTTAAAACAGTGTTCTCTTTATTTCAAACAGCACCTCAGACTGAGGAAGTCTCTTGGATGAGAGACGAAACGTTTCTAGATTTTTTTGCTTTGTTTTGTTTTTTTTGTTTTTTTTGAATGTCCAGAGGACCAGATTGAACTTTTTTGGAGTGTTCTCTTTATTATTTTTTTTATCTTTCTTGTAGACATGCTGGATAAATGGTAAAGTAATGCTGAGATGATTACATAGAATTAGCAATTTGTGATGTTAAATAAATGTTTTAACTATCCAGGTCTTTTGCTAAAAGGCTAAATCTTCTTCCAAATAAGTTCTGCATGACCTGATTTTTGGACACGCAAGTAATTCTGAAGGAAATAATTTGCAACTCCTCTGTGGCTAATCATGACACATAACCAAACCATGAGCTCATCTCCTACCAGAATTTGAATTCGGGCAACCTCCTGATGAAAGGGCGGAACTCCTCATTCTGCTTGGTAGGAAGGGATGGGCCCTCGTCTAAAGGAGAGATGACAATGATCACCACCGACTTAGTGTACAATAAAAAGGTCAGTTTGATGTGGATGTGTCAACTCACCTTCGTCAAGTAGTGAGGGATCCACTTTTGGCGATAGAAATGCAATGAACAGGTTCAGATGGTAGATTCCCAAAGCATATGTTACTATATACCACCCCTGAAAGCACAATAAAATCATCATGTATTTCTAAGTGATTATTACACTGAAAAGAAAAAGTACAACTTACGTTGTAAAATCAAAAGAAAGCATAAGAAAAATACAATTACCTGTAGTATGTAGACTCTGATCATGTAGACAAGAGTAAGTAGTAAAGTGAGTGCCCATCGCACTATAGAGAATGGCGTTGACTTGTCAAGCCATGACTGATAGACCTGTTAAACATATAGAAGTCACCATGTCATCAAAAAAGTATATCAATGAAAACACAACTTTAGCAACACTTGTGTTTGTAAATGACCACCACAATTCCATAATCTTAAATTGTTTTATGCAAGACATTATTGCATCACCTGTCCAATCCTGGTGAAAAAGGCAGCAACTACAGATGGTTTCCCATGGATCGACTCCCCAACACTGTCCCCTTCTGACATCCTGCCAGAGGAAAATAAGCACAATTAGCACAAATAAAGTCATGGATCTTCAATATAAAACAAAAGAGACATTTGGATCCTTAAGCTCTATTTTCACAGAATTGAGAAACATTTCTAGTGAAGGCACTGAAAGCCCCGCTTGAACTTTAGGCCAACTAGGAGATGAACTGATCTAACATTTAGAAGCAGTCACACAGAATCTACTAAAAGCAGATTTTGGTTCAGTTTTGGTTATGTACTTCCTGAGAGATGAGATGATGCGAGATCAGAAAGCTGGCATGAATAACTACGGGTAGTTCCTTATGACTATTGGACTGACAGTTCAATCATCAGTGTAGTTAGATAAAAAACAAGGAGAAATTGTTTCTTTTTTTTTCCTTAAAAAAAAACGTTAAGTAAAAAACAAAAATATTTGTTGCTTATGTTTCACGAATTGCTCAAATATAAAAACGAAAAACAGAAACTAAAATTCTATGGAAACGCTGAATGGCTCATCATTTTTAACAACAATTACGGCTGAAGTTTAAGGTCATTATGTTTATATTGTTCACTAAGCGCGGCGTCTACTCGCAGAGACGCCATAAAGACTTACTTCGTTTCATTTACTAGTTTTAACCAAAAGAGAAGAAATGAAAGACCGCTAAAGACTTGGTTGTGGCTAGCTAACATTCTCTGAATTACTTAGCCAAAAAGCTTAGGCTGTTGCTACACTGGCAGCTCGTATTTATGAAGAACAGGGATGTTGTGAATTTATGAAGACTTGAGTAAAATAAATCAGTTTTACAATCGCTACCGACGTTTAAACAGGGACATACTTTGAAGTTTTTAGTATTAGCTTACAAATTAGCCACAAAAATGGCTAACTAGCAGAGTAAATGTACACTATTACCCTTTGGCCCAAATTTGCGCTTACATGGGTTATGTAGTTCTAGTATATTCTCGGTTGCTTGCTGATCTGTCCTTAAACGGTATAAAGTAACTATATTTCCCATAATTCTCATGAAGAAAAATATTAAACAGTGACTACCATAATTGTAGTTTAAAATAGCCCCTCGTTCAGTTGTAAGTAATCGTTATCAGATATAAATGAACTACAAAAACCAACATCGACTGCGACAACTGGACAACTCACTTCCTGTGACACGTTACTACGTTACCAGAGGTTCCGCAGCTAGCATGTTAGCCCGTTCAAAAAGACAAGTCTATGATGACTACGATTATAATAAAATAATAATACGTTTTTATTTACACTTGAGTCACCAATTTCATAACTGCCAGTATATCTCGAATGTGCTGGTAACCGCATCTTAAATCGACAATGACAATTGCTTCTTACCTGATACAGATTCTGTGTCACTACCCGGCTCTACCTAGCTAGCTCCACTAGCTACTGCTCGTGTACACGTCAGTATTTCCGCGAGAACCAGCTCTAACAACAGGCGGGTTAATCGAGCTCCGAGTTCGGTGCGGCAGCATCGATGTGTGCAGTACTGACTCCTAATAAACTACAAATGAAGGGCACACGCACTTTAAAACTTTAACCGTAATTGGCACATAAGGTAAGAAACCAGACGCTAGCAAAAAGCGGGAGAACAGTAGTAAATTAGCTAGAAGTAATAATAATAATAATAATACTTTATTTATAAAGCCCTTTAAAACAACCACAGCTGCCACAAAGTGCTGTACATATAAAATCAAGAACATTTAAACACATAAAAACAGTTGTTAAAACATTAAGATCAATAAAAGTAATAAAAACAGTGCAGATCAAATTCAGTGTGTGCTAAAAGCCAGGGAGTAAAAATGTGTTTTTAAAAGAGTTTTAAAACTGGACAGTGAAGGGGCTTGTCTGATGGGAAGAGGTAGATCGTTCCACAGTCTTGGAGCAGCAACAGAAAAAGCTCTGTCCCCTCTGAGCCTCCGCTTAGACCTCGGCACCTCCAGGAGCAGCTGATCAGCTGATCTGAGGCACCGAGCAGGAGAGTATAACATTAAATGTAAATATAAATAAAAGTGTATTACACATATATATTTTAATCTAAAATGTTGTTACTTTATATCAAATATTTCCAGCCTCAAAAGTTAATAAAGCTATTTTTTTTTCTTTATTTTGTATTTTTTGTTAAATTATCAACTATTATCAAATTATCATGGGAAATCGTAGGTTTCAACCATCAGATTACAAATTTGGGCGAGTAACTGCAAATCATCAAGTGACTAATTTACAAAAATCTTGTGACATAAAATACTAAAGTTAAGACTTAAAGACTTTTTAATGCACCTGTACTTAAAGTGCATTCACAGTTGTGCACATATTGTCAACTAATCTATAAAAAATCTTCAAAGCCACAACCATTTGGGCTCTCCTAAATTGGTTGAAATCAACAGTGATAAAACTGAGTTTCTGCTCATTGGTACTAAATCCACCTTTTCCCCAAGTCAACAATTTTTTTCCTCACAATTGACAGCTACTTAGTTCCTCACTCCCCTCAGGTTAAGAGTGTGTGTGTCTTTCTTGACAGCACTCCTCATTTCACTCTCACATCATTAACATTATACCGGACTTCTGCAAGGCGTTCCAAGCTTACCCTCACTCTACTACTGAATCCATCGGGTCTGTCTGCCCCCGCCATCTGATCCAACTGGACACCAGGCGGTGAGCAGCTGACAGCTCAGCTCTGCTCTCATCTCCAGTGTTCCAAACATACAGCCACAGATCAGTTAATCTATCATGGATCTGTGAGAACGAGACAATATGTAAATTTTGATGCATGCCTGGTGAAGTGTTAATTAAAATATGTCTTTAAAAACAATTTATTAAAACCTATTCTTTATTTTTATTATTAACTTTTTATTGGTTTGGACAGAGTCAGAAATAATAATGATGGCAAATAACTTTATTCAAGACGTAAAGTAAAACACTATATTTAGTAATCTTGGGGATGAACGACACTTCCGACACAATCTTACATCTTCAACAAAATGGTTGACATGAAAAAAGATAAAAAAAAATAAAAACATACACGGAGTATTAAAACAAAACATTTTTTTATTTACAGCATGGAAATGCAGGTGCCCAATACTGATCATTTTGATTTAGTTAATCTTCAAAGCATTAAAGTGCTTGCTCTCTAACAGTTGTTGGTAAGTAGGTTATTTATTTGTATTTATTTATTTTGTACGGAGCAATCTTAGAAAACTGCTTTATATCAGATGTTTTGCTGAAACTGTGAACCTGGCTTGTTTGTCTTCTAGAAATAAAACTGGAATGCTGTCGTTAAATGTCGAACAACAAGTGACACAAAGGCTAAACACAAGACAAACTAGTGTGCAAAATATCAAACAAACAATTCCTAAACTCAAGTGATAAACCAGTGTTATGCCTATTTATTATAGAGAATCTTAGAAAAAAGAAATGGCATCTTTAGGTGCACTAACAAAAGCCCCCTTTTACAAACCTCACCACCCCAGACAAAAACCATTAAAAACATTAAATTCCCATCAAACTCTATGTCCAACAAACAGAACAAATTAGGGCTTTTGAAATGGCTGCTTTTGCCTAAAATACGATTTAAAGTTATTTATTAACAAATTATTTCATTACAAGTAGACACAAGATTAGTTTTTAAGTACGTGTGGAATTTTTTTTAAGTTTGAGAGTTTAATAATTCATCATAAAATGGCTTAACAAACAACATTTTGTTCTCTGTAAACTGACCGGTACATTGACTAAACTGGAAATGAGTAAAAAAAGAAGAAGAAGAAGGAAAAGGCAGTCAATATTCAAAGAAAGGCTTAAAAAGCTTCAGAAAACAAAGAGGACTGCTACTAAAGACCACATTAAATCACAAGGAATCTTTACTCCTTAAAGCAAATACAAAAAAAAAATCAAGAGTGACTTAAAACATTTGCAGAGTACTGCAGCTCTAATCAACACATACGCCTTGTCTTTGAAGTCCTTGCCCTGCAAGGACTTCAGTATATTCAGAAAATGTTTCTTGACAAACAGGAAAGTCAAATTATTAAATTACTGTTCACTTAATTAAAATAATCCTTGCTATCGCAGTTTAATACTGTTTGTTTTTTGTGTCACTGTACAAAAAAAGAATACCATACTTTCTAAAATGTATTAAAAGTGGAAGTAATACCAAATTTCTGATAACACGTACTCACAACGCTGAAGCACATAAAACTAATTAGTTACCAATATAATGATTACAAACAGGCGGAATTCCTCACTTTATCAATAAAAACATTCGGTTCAAACAGGAGATTAAGAATAAAATCTAAATACTCATTTTCAATCACATCTAGTCCAAAACATTTACAAGATACAGTATTTACATTTGTACAAGTACAGATAAACTGAAAGAAAAATAAATAAAGAGAACTTTTTGTTTTATCCAAACCTTAACAGGCAAGCTGGTGATGGTCACATGTTTATCTGGACATTGTAAATATTATCATGAAGCTAATCTGTCACATAATTCACAGAGCATCCTTACATCATTTTTCTGCACTAATCCCAAATTGTTTTGCTTAAACCACACAAGCGATTAGCGGAAGAGTTTCTGCCTTGTTGATATGAGATGTCATTTGTGTTTCATGTACCGTATTTTTCGGACTATAAGGTAAAGCTGCCATTTCTAACCTGGGCCTGAAGCCCGGCCCAACCCGAATTTGGTCTGGTCCGGGCCATGATAATGTGCTGGATGGTCGGGTTGGTGCTGGGCTTTTGATTGCGTCAGCGGACGCTTGCGGCTGGATATCCAATTATATGGCAACACGGCTTGCCATACAATCACCAGCTGCACGTGGCCGTTTGGCTGCGAGCTGACCGACCTTGAAAGAGGTAAAATAAAGTTCAGTTAAGCTTCAGATGAGACTACCAGTACTGCCAGGAAGCGATCCATCTTCCAAATGGACGTTCAGCCACTGCACTCAGCAGACGCGTGCGGCCGACAACCCAAACAGGTGAGATCCCAAAGCCGGCATGTCAGGGCAGGGTCCATGTCTGAATAATGCAGAATGCAGGCAGAAGCAGGGATTTAATGCGCTTTGACGGCCATGAAAGGACAAACACCCCCTCAACTCTGATCTTCTGCCCTTTTTACTCAGCCGAGCATGTCCACTAACCATTAATAACTATATAAGCAGTCAAAGCTTAATTGAAAATGTCAGTTTTTTTTCGGATTCAGACCTGTAATTACTGTTAATTCGTCGGGACGGGTGGGGTTCGGAAATGCTGGCTACAGGCTAGGGCCAAGTCAGGTCGGATTTTGCAACTCTACTATAAGGCGCACTAGATTATAAGGCGCATTAAACAAAACAAGTTCATTTTGACAGGTTTTTGAGCGCCGTGTACCACATAAAATTGGTTCGCGGTCAGTATGCACAACCAGAATTAATACATAAAGCACACCAGATTATAAGGCTCACTGTCAATTTTTGAGAAAATTAAAGGATTTTAAGTGCGCCTTGTACTCCGAAAAATACGGTAGTCAAAGCAAAACTGTCAGACAGCACAAAAAGTGATGATGTCACTCAAAATATTTCAAAGAAGATTCTGTGGAAAAATCACTGAGCTAAAATCTGATCAGCAATCACCATGAAGATTCTCATAATCTAGGTTAGAATGATGACGTTTGACTAAAAGCAGTTAGATGGATATTTTTGCTCTTAGTGAACATCGCTCTCCATGAACTCCTCCTTGATGGAATGCTTGCTGTGGGGCACTTTGCAGTCTGGCATGTCAAAGCCAAAGTCAGCCCACTCATCAGCAGCTGCTGCCATCCCAGACGTCCCAACAACACCTGGTCTGTTGGGGATGGTGATGGTGTGGCGAACACGAAAGTGCACCGCCTCCATGACCCGCTGACGTTGCAGCTCCCCACTTGCGGCCCCGATGGCCGCCATGGCGGAGGCAGCCATGTTGCTGCTGGATCGAAGCAGCTGCTGGCCATGATACTCGTGGTGGTGAGAGGAGTTGGGCAGCTGGAGGGGGGCGCCTTGTTTCATGTCCTGCAGACCTCGCCAGATGACAATGCGAGTCTGCTCCGGTATCTTCAGCGCACCTAAATCCTGGTGAGGGCACAAAGTTACATATGTGAGGGTTGCAAAAGTGAAATGACAAACAGAAAACAGTTAGTGGGTATGAGCTCCCCCTTGTGTTTATCGCAACACTCCTCTGTAATCACCAAAAAATCAAATACTCTAGAACAGGGGTGTCAAACCCACTTACAACAGGGGCCCAAAATTAAAACCTTTTTCAAACTAAGGGCCGGTTTCAGAATCTACATTAACTCAAGTCAGATACCCAACGTCTTTTCTTGGTTGCAGGTTCCTCAACAAGTGTTTGATTGGTCTCATTTGACGTTAGCTGTTGCACTTTTGACATCTTAATCAAAGATTACTGAAAAAAATAAAGTAATAAAAGTATTTTACATTTAGAATAACATCTTGGGGGCCAGATAAGATGTCAACGAGGGCCACATTTGGCCCCCGGGCCTTGAGTTTGACACATATGCTCTAGACCATATGTCACCTTCAATAGCCATGGGCCAAATCTGGTCCCCCAAGATGATAAATGAAATGTAGAATATTGGATCTCGCTCTCTCTGTATTTATTTATTTTTTCCTTTAAAAACCCCAGATAAATACATGATTTAGTACCGTACAGTATAGACTTCTCTTGCCAGCTGGCTAACTTTGAAGCCAGAAAGAAGGTTGGATCATTCTGTCATTATTGATTCTGATGTGGAAAGAGCAACAGAACATCAAGTGAGACAGATCAAACTCTTATTAATGAACCTGCAACCAAGAAACGATACTAGGTATATCTGACTGGAGTTAATGTATCAGCTGAAAGTAGCCTGTGGCTCAGATAACATTTTTAAATTTTGTCTCCTTTTAGTAAATGAGTTTGATGTCCCTATATAAGACCTTGTATACATAAAATAAACAGCTTTATTGTTTTTGGGGACTCGTTATAACCTGTTTTGTTTTGCCTCTTTTCTCATTTTAAGTTGTTTTATGATAGATTTGAGTGCAAATGTATGTGTTTGCATGCGCGTCGGTGTGTGTGTGGGATTGTAAAGGCATCGCCAGAGTGGTTACCTCCATGGAGAGAGTTTGGAGATGGTAGACAGACTGGAGACCTTGTGAGGTGAAGTACTCAATGAAGTTCTGACAGCCCAGACTGGTGAGAAAACTGTATGGGGAGAAAAGCAGGGCTGCTTAGATCACAGCTGGAGCTGAAGGGAAGACTAAAATACGAGCTCATACGCATCGATTTAAAGTTTAATTTCCTGTTCAGTTGAATATAATTCATATGTGATCATTATTATCAGTATTTGATTCTATGCAGGCCTGAAACACTACATCATTTAATGAAAATGTAATTATTTTACTGTAATACACAATTCTTTAGAGCTACTTTTTCCTAAATGTGTTACATATTTAGGACACATAGTATCAAATGCTGTCCTCAGACTCAAACTCAAGTATTTAACTGTACATCCTGACAGATGCAGTGGAAGCAAAAGCAATCACATGCATTTATATTAATGATTCATAGGGACACTCTTGCTTTGGTCAAGAACCTTTATTATAAACACATGAAATAAAGTCTTGGCAACATACAAAGCAAAAAGAGTGTAACTGTACAAAAATTACCAGAACAGTCTAGAAAAGAAAAGAAAAGAAAAGAAAAAAAAAAAATAGGATAGACAAAACCTGCTGTATCAAAAATGTCATGTTTACGTTAGCAAGTCGAGTGACTGCATTTACACATTATCTTAAAAATATATATACATAAAAAAAGAAAATTAAAAACAGCTTTTAAATTAAATACGACTTAAACAGTTATTTTAAGGAAAAATGCCATAGTGCATTGGAAACGTGACTGTATACAAAATGACAGTGTGAAGGATTTAAGATCCACGTCTGAGACACAGTTTGAGCTTTTAGAGTTGACGGCGGCTCTTGCAGACATGGTGAAGGTCAACACCCCCTGAGCACCCTCACTGTACAACCACAGTGAAACATCACTCTCATGCTATAGACAATTTCTGTGCAGCTATAAGTTCAATCAGAAGTTGCTCTGCTTCTTGGGCCACCCAAAAGCATTTTCTTTAACCAGAACACTTTAAGGTGGACCTTCACTATGGCAACAGCTAAGTGATTGCGAGCCCTTTAAAAGCAGCCATGATCTCATCAAAACGTCTGTAAAACACAGCATTTACAGATTTCGTGGCACGAAGATCAACATGCCGGCATGCCACCAATTATTATCTTTTATAGTCAAGAAGTGCATCAGAGTGTCGGCTGGCCTTTTACGGTTGGTTAAAGAGGGAGTGTCACTGCAGGGTGAAGTACCTGACAAGGCTGGGGTCAGGGTTATAAGGCGGTGAGCTGCAGTGGGAAGCAGACACTAAATTCTGACTGCTGTGGCCACTGTTCATGTCACCGTTCCCCTGCATGTGGTTGCTGTTGAGCATGTTTGAACCTGCGAGAAAGAAATCAAATAATGACAGTGTACGTAGAACCGAAGTGCACTGGATTCATATTGAATGGGAACGCGAGCTTGATGGGTGAAAGTGGACACATTGCATGGTGAACACTTACCCATATGAGCAAGGGAGGGGTTGGCATTTGGATGCTGCTGCGGCTGCTGCACCATCTGGTTGACTGACTGCGGTTTGCCGAGGCCGCCGTGCGAATGCATCTTGTTCATGTTGGACAGCGGAGAGTAGGAGGAAGGGGACGATATATGACTCCTTTTGGATAGAGGAGAGAGAGATGCAAGTTGAATTAGTACGCTTTTATTTTATTCAAATTCTGTAACAAATGAAAGGCTGGAAAAGTGCTCGTAAAAACCTAATCCCCAAAGAAGCGAGGGTTATATTCTGACTTTTTGAAATAACGTTTCAAAGACATTCACCACTTTGTAAATGGTCTCAGAATACAAAGTTTACTGAGTTGTGTTTTAACGGTGTTTAAGTGAAAGCATGTTTCCTTTGACAGTTTGAACAGAGGCTGAACAGTCTTTGAAAACAGTTGTTTGTTGGTAGAATAGCTAAAAACACTCGTTTTAGCTTGGTGACCCTCCATGGTACGGCCTGATGCGGAGAGATGAAGACAGATCATAACGTGTTTGCCCTTGTCAGTGTGCACGAGTGTTAATGTGCCTGTCTGTTAACAAAATATCTCATGAACCGCTGGATGAACTTGGATCAAACTTAAAAAAAATAAATTATTAGATAAACGTACAACTGATTAACATTTAAAGTCAACTTTACTCAAGATGGCTACCACAGACCACTAACATTAAAACCTAGAAAATGGCGATAACTGTCAGTTGTACAGATATTGACCTAACATTTGATGTGATAGTAGCTGAGACTGATCGCAAAAACATATTCTGAGTGCCAGCAGGTCTCAAAAGAGCTTTGTTTAACACGTAGTGACTCTTTGAAGTCATCTCTATGTGTTAGCAAAATATGTTATAAACCAAATGGACAGATTTAAATGAAACTTTCAGAAAAAAATAATTTGGTATATTTTAATAACTGATTAAGTTTTGCAGTCCAGATTATGATGGCTGCCACAGCTAACCCACATTAACCAACACAGAAATGGCTGTAACTCAGTCAGTTTCACAGATATTTAGCTAAAGTTTGATGTGGTTGTAGCTGAGAGTTGTACTCAACACATACAACCGCATCTTGTCAAGGTCAAGGATCTTTATTGTAATTTGCGTCACATGTGGTGCATGAGGTGGAACAAAACTGTGTACAAAATATGTACATGAAATATATGTATATGAAATATTTCTCATCATAAGATCTTAGCCTTAAAACCAGACGTGGAAGGCAGCGAGCAACATGTATTTCTTCAGGGAAAGCTAGGACTTTAGTCACAACTTGTTTAAAGGATTTGTGTGTGTTAGCGTTACTCACGGTCTCTGCAGCAGCTGTTGCTGTGTTTGCTGTCTGTAAGAGTCCACCAGTGGCTGAGGCACCAGCTCCACCAGCTCCAAACTGTCTTTAATCTTCATCAGCAGCTCAAAGTTTTCCCGACCACGGACCTGCACACAAACACAACACGCACATTAAATAAAACCAAACGGGTATCTCCCAACTTTTTGTTTGAAAGGTTTGAAAATAGTTGTATGTCTTGTGGTCAGCCAACTCAGACTCAGCAAAATGTGTTGACAAACCAAACAGCTGAAAATATTCATTTTTATTGTTTTTCCTGCTAATGGGAGAAAAATGTGCTGAGGAAAAATAGTGTCATCAATCTCTTTACATTAAGCAGAAAACAAAGGGTCAGAAAATTGTACTGTTTGTAGAAGAGCTACACACTTTATTTTAATACAATATCACACTTAGTTGAATTTGTACAAGTTATTCTTAGCTGGTTAGGCATGATAGTGATTAACATTTGAAATACATCAATGGATTCATTGAATGTTGTGTTGTATTAAAAAAAAAATTCTTACAGGGATATAGTAAATCTCTTCATCTCCGTGCCGTCTCTTCCTTATGTTGATATTTGGACTGGGAATACTGGGTGGACTCTGTTTGAAGCCTGCGGACATCAGAAACAAAATAATTAATAAGCAGATTTCAGACACATGCAATCCCTGTTTTTTAATTTATTTTTACAACCAACAACCAAACAAACCAGCAGATAAAATGTCACAGTCTCTAATCATTTACATGTGCAATTTTATTTAAGCTGAAGAGGTTTTTTTTTCCAACTCACTACGCTTGTTGGCATTGCCGTTTTTGGACACGCTCTCATTCAGAGCTTGCTGTTCCCTGAAATGATCCTCGTCAGCTTTGCGGTCTCGACCAGGACACGCACATATCCGACCCTCAAACGATCGCCTGCCCAACACTTGGCCACTACAGAGATTCAGGACAGCACATGCATCATAAACGACGTGGTAATAAAACTCCACAAAGTACATAATGGAATAATATTAGAAAAATAAAACATTTGGAATGAATTGACTTCTTTACATTTCCACATAAAAATGCACCACAACGAGTTTAGCTGTAAAATACACTTCATATTGAATGTGGTTAATTACATTATGGTATAAATACTGTATATGATGTGTGTTTTCATAAATAAAGGAAGTAAAAGTAAGTGTAAAAGAGTTAAAACTTTTATTGAACGTTGGAACAGATGGTACTGACTCACTCTCTGGTTTCCAGAGTAATGATGATGAGGATGGGTCTTCTGTTCATGCCTCCCACACAGCTGCTGTTGCACATAAAATTATAAAGGATGGTGGTGAACTCAGTCCCAACCTGAAACACAAAGCAACAAGAACAAAGGGTCAAAAAGCACTTTTTTGGGTCCTTGCACTTATCTCACATTGAATGCTTTATTATTATTATTTTTAGTTCAGATTCGAATTGACTAACATGTTGCAATCACACTTGGTCTCCATCAGGATTATTGTCGTATAAATTAAGATATTAAAGCATTTTTTTCCCGCAGAAATGAATCTGGATCATTTTGCTCCTGCAGTTCCATCCAGAACACCAGCTCACCACCAGAGGGAGGTGAGAGGAGACACTTGTGCCTTTTATTGCCCTCTTCAGGTGCAGTCACAGACAAGATTATCCTCCTGCATGTTTGAACTTGCCCAGAATCGTTATTTTTAGATGTACTTTCTTTGAGGCAAGTTTACTGACATGGGCTGTTTCTTTGAAATAAACTTGTCTTGTAAGAGAAGTGTTTTTATCTCATCTCTAATTTCACAAGCTTTCAACATCTTTAAGATAATAGATTGTACTTTTTTCTTCTAATTTTATCAAAACAACCCAATCGCTTTATTTTTGCACAGTCACACTGAGTTTTAGAATAATTTGATGGCAGCATTAAGTGGTAGTAATACATATAAAAGCATACTTACCCAGTATTTATAGAGTATAATGGTGTCTATCAGGTATATACTACATAGTACATATTCAAGATGTTTCAACTATGTCAGATTAAAACATTTCACTGTCTCTGATTCACAGAAATGACAAAGTACCAACCTGCGGAGCCTCGTAGGGCACAACGACACTCTGCCTGCCAGTGACAGGATCGTCCACATACTGACTCAGGTTGTTCCCCTCCACTCTGATCAGGTGACTGGCTGGGGCTGTTTGACCTGAAGACAGGATGATGAGGAAAAACGTAAGCATTTTGATTATATAACGTCCCACTGTGGTTACAAAATCCAAAACCGAATTAAACAAAATTGAATTATATTGCACACAAATGTAAATGGTAAATGGACTGTACTTGTATAGCATCTTTCTATCTTATCAAGATACTCAAAGTGCTTTACACTACAATCTGTACCCTCATTTATCCATTCATACAGGACTCTACTATATCTATACAAAGAGTAATGCTTTATCACATTCATACACCGATGGGACACACATCGGAGGCAATGAGGGGTTCAGTGTCTTGCCCAGGGACACTTCGGCATGTGACTGCTGGTGGAATCGAACCCTAAACTCATGCATTGAAGGACGACCGTTCTAACCACTCAGCCACAGCCGCCCAAATGTTCTTGCACAAAGCATAATCTTTAAATTTTTGCTTTAATTTAATGTAAGAGTACAAAATATCAGAAAGCAGTAAGAATAGAATAAGTCAAATTGAGTGTACCGTCATTAAAGTCCCTTCCAAGCTCATGATTGGGGCACCGTTTGACCACCTCTGTGACGTGCTCTGCCTTTTTGTACACCGGCATGGCCCTGATGATGCTGCCATGAGGAGGGGAGGAGGACAGCTTGATCTGGATCGGGCAGGTTTTGGCAATCTGACAGTAAAGCTTCTTCAGCAAGGGCGAATACTGGCAAAGCAAAAATATCATACAAAAGGTTTTAGGTAAGTTATGTGAACACGTGCTCTTAAAGAGTTAAATTTGTAAGTGAAAACAAAAATTGTCAGAAGGGAAAGATACCAGATATCCTGAGAACAAGCACCAACATATAGAACCTAATAGCATTATATTTTTCTTTCTCATTAAATGTAAACTTTCACTTCATAGTTAATGCAGTTCATATGTGCTCCTCTTTTGAAATTTGAGACATGAACACAATTTATTTCTTATGTGAGGTTGCAAGTGTAAGAGTGGTTACATCCACTGAAAAGACTGAGAACTGTAAACACACTCAGAACCTGAGGTGATTTTTTTTTGACACGTAAAATAAAAGCATTGATTGTCCTGCTGTTGTGTTAAAACCGTAAAACAGTAGTAAAATGGTAAATGACACATAATGTGTTTTTTGGCATGACAGCCTGAACTGTTTTAGATTCTAAAAACTGTTTTACAACTTGTTTGGGATGTTTAAATGGTAACAGCACAAAGTGTTAAAAGTTTTATTTTAAAGAGAATAAAGTCTTTTCTTATTGAAACTGGAACCTTTTTTTTTTTATCAAAAAAGACAATTTTCACCATATTCATTCTTTCATATTGCAGGCGTAAATATGTTTTAATGATTTTCACACAAGGTGGAAAACTGATGATTTGTGTAATGATAAAAAAAAAAAAATTGGGCGAGTGTTTGAGCTCTGAAAAAACATAAAGGAAAAGAAATATTAATGTCAACATAAAACAGACAACAGAACTTTTAAGGTGAAATTATAAAAATATTGCTTTATTGAATAAAAACTACGGTATCCTGCAGACTTGTCCTTATGATTCCAATGCCAGTAGTTTCCAATCCTGATGATTGCAGAAAAAGGGAGCAAGTCCAAAAGCACATTTAAAAATGTAAAAAATTTTTTTTAAATAAAACCTAATTAAAAAAAACATTTATTTTCAGCTGTCAAACAAATAATTTAACATAAGTGGATAAAATGAAGATGTTCTGCACAGGAATCTTACGTGTCAGTTTTCTAGTAACGTTTGGCTTACATGAAAATATGCTGAGCTGTGATAAAGCCAAGACTTCAGTCATCTTTTTAGTTTACAAGCAGAAGCACATGCACATGCATGAATATGAGTGTTAATGCGTCGAAGTGCCAGAAACAGATGCTTCAAAAGGCATTGCATAGAATGGAGGAACCTTACATGCTCCAGCACAGTCCATGACCTCCCAGGAAAAAGTCTGTTCTGTCTTGTGTAGACTTGCTCGGATTTGCTTAAACGCTAACACAACAGCGCACCCTATGGCACAAATAAAGTTCTTGCAGCTCTTACATACATTCATACATCCATACATACATGCATGCATACATACATGCATGCATGTATACATACATACATACATGCATACATACATACATGCATACACAAACACATACATACACACACAAACAAAGTACATACATATACACACAAACATACATACATACACACACGTATAAATACATACATACATACATATTCATTCAACCTTTATTTAAACAAGTTTGTCCCACTGAGCCACGAGGACTCATTTACACGAGAGACCTGGATTTTAACAAAGAGTGATGACAACAATGGATAACAACGACAACAATAGACATTCACAAACAATTCATACATTTAAAAAAAAAAAAATTACATACATGCATAAATACATGTATACATGCATACATACAACATGGTGAAAGTTTGTTCTTTTTTTGATAAATGAAAGGAATAAGAAATAATAAGGTTGGCTTTTTAGTTGGCTCGCCGAAATTGTCCAAAATTTGGACAATTAAAAAAACTATATATTTTTTAAATTATTTTTTATGCTTTATTTTTCAGGGGTGCTGAGGTACTATTTAGGAAAAAAGTGGTTAAAATTGCCACTGGTTCAAATTATATTTAAAAAACTGAATTTAATAGGAAAAAAACTGGAGTCGTTTTACCTTTAGTTCCAGCATTTCCCCAGTAGAGGCGCACTACAGACACTGGCGTGTATTACAGGCAAATTAACAATGGAGAAGAAGTAATTTGTTCTTTTACGCTTTTATTTTTACTTTACCCTATGAACTCGTCTGTAAAAATGTGTTAATCAAAGAAAAGTGTACAGTGAGTGCTGAATGTTTAAATTGGGGTGGACAACAACATATTGTTTCACTGAGGTCCAATCAAAGGCAGTTTTTATGCCAAGAAACTTTTGTGGTTTTCAAAGAGTACATTTGCTAACTGCTATCTATGCTAGCAAGCCTTTCTCCGATGGCGATTTTTAAATAAGAAACATGGTTAAAACAGAGCAGGTCTGTTGTGTCCGGAGGGCCAAGACAAGTTAGAAAAATTTAGTTTATCACACAGGACTGTGACTCGCCTTGTGGAACTGATTGATGAAGATTTAGCAAAATAAGCTAAAAGGCATAGAGTCCTTTAAATTACGGTTTACTGGATGAAAGTAATGAAGGACACTGTTCATCTCCTAATTTTTATTTTATCTGCGGGATTAACAACAGTTTTGAGATAATGAAGGTATTTTTGACCCTGGAGTCTCTGAAAGGAGAAAACACGGAGAGAGGATTTTTATAACCGTCTGCTGCCATGAGAGAATGAAGCTTCTGTGGAGTAAACCGAACAATGTCACAACAGACAGATCACCAAATTTGAGTGGAAAACCTGTTGGTCTGCTGACAAGAATCCAGGATAAAGTGAAAGGAAAACCTCGACCAGGATGTTATTTTTCATCCATCAGGAATCGCTGTAAGTCATGCTTTGTGTGTGCTTGTGTGAAACTGTTAATTGTGTGTGACTTATCAAAAAAAAAAAGATAATAATAATGAAAGACAAAAACGTGTGAATTATTGTGCAGGTACTCTGTTGTGATGCTGCATAGAGGAGCTGCAGGAGGATGATGTCTGCTTCCATTCCCAACCTGCCACAGCTGACCTGTCATCAACTTTAGATCCTGTAGTTGTAAAAAGTTTTGTGAGGAGTTTGTAGAGGTGAGCTGCCACTTTATTTAGACTTTTCTCCTGTATTCCATTAGCATAGTGAAGGAAGAGACTTGTGGTTTGCTTAATTTTATTTTTCTTCATGTAAGAGAAAATACAGTGGTTTGTTTTATTTGTTGTTTGAGCCTGAAGTTGGTAAGACTCCACAAAGTCAATAATTTCACTATTGTAAATAAAATCACTGTTCTATCATATAATCCTGACTTAGTGGCTGCTTGAGTGGTGCAGAAGGTGAAATCGCCCATAATTAATAGTGCCCCGACGGCTGTTATTGCGCTGGGGTGTAACATCACACAAACACTCCATCCATCTGTTCCTGGCCCGGCCCTTCGCTCCAATTTTAGAACTCAGTGTGGCCCGCGAGTCCGAAAGTTTGCCCACCTCTGCTGTAGACAGAGGAAGTCCTCTGGATGGGGGATGAAACATTTCTTACTTAAAGAGACTGGTCCAGATGACATGATTTAGTCTTTTTTGTTATCTACCTGGATGTTGGAGCTTGCAGCCCTTCTAATATTAATAGATTATTATACACTATATTGTTCTCTTGGTAAAATTTGTTTTCGACCCAAAGTTCTGTGTTTAACAATAAATTTAACAAAAAAACAAAATGTATTAACCATATCAGTTCAGGTTTAAGGACATTTTAAACATGTGCCATTTAAAGTTACATTCTTATTTTGAAGGGCTTATTTTTTCATCACATCCTATAATTGGGTGCTCATGCAACAAAAAGCATAACATTTATTTTGAAAAAAGTAATAAACAGAGGTTCTAATATGAGAAAAGACAACGTTGTTTAAATTGTTTAAGCGGCTGTGTTTTATGCAATGCAAATAATTCCTTTCCAAATTGAAAGTAAGACTGGGTTTCTTTTTCAGAAATAGATCCTGTTTAACTCTGAATGCTAGAAAACACCTTGTAACTGCAACTTTCCTTCCCTCCACTGACTACAGTGACATTATTTACATAAACGCACCTACAAGCACTCTGCAGATGTTGGATGTCTATCATGGTGCGCTAAGATGAATAACTGGCTGTAACTACTGTACCCATCACTGCACCCTGTATTAACTGGTCATTATTAACTTGTCTCACTGGTATTTTCATCTTTAAATCACTTCTCGGTCTGTTGCCTTCATACATCTCCTCCTACATGTCTCTGCATGAGTGCAGCTACAGCGTGCGCTCTCAGGACATTATTACCTGCAGTGTTCCCTCAGTGTGGACTGAACTAGGCAAAAGGGCCTTCTCCTACTCTGCTCCTTTTTCCTGGAATATCTTGCAAAAAGATCGGAAGATGTCGACTTTGGCCTCTCTAAGGGATTTTAAACAACTGCTAAGTTCATGGTAAAACCCAACACAGACATGTTCCTGTTTTTAGTATTTTACATCTCTTTATAATGTAGCTGTTTAGTTTAGTTTTTATTTAATTTCTTTTATGTACTTTTTTCATTTTATATGCTTTTTATGTGATTGTCTATTGTTGTCCGTACCTCATTCAACCTTTATTTATACAGGTTAGTCTCATTGAGTTTGTGTTCTTTGTTTAAATCAGGTTTCTCTTGTAAATGAGTCCTCGAGGCTCAATGAGACTAACCTGTATAAATAAAGGTTGAATGAAAAAAATATATATATTTTTAAATACAATCTTGCACATCTGTTTTGTTTCTCCCTAATTTGCTGCTGGCCCACTAATCGTTCAGAAAGAGTTAACCCTTACAGTCCTTCCAGCAAAACTCTTCTGTGACACCCCCCCCCCCCCCACACACACACACACACACACACACACACACACACCTGCCCTCAGCCATGAGCAATAGAAGAGATGGAAATACCTGTGCACAACGTTGCCTGTTCCACTTAACTTTCTATACACAGTTCTCCTCAGCTCCTCCATATCATGACTAAATCGTTTTCTGACAGCAGCCAGACAAACATCTTATTTACCGATCAGGA